TTTTCGAACAGTCAAAAAGAACTATCTAGGGAGGATTATAGGGATCGTTTGCAATAGGTACGATCCTTGGGAAGATACTCATTTTAATGATATTGAGTCTGCCGAACCAACCAAATAGTGGTTTGTGCCATGCTTTTAAATCAGTTGTGATGCCTGTTATTAGTGGAGGGAAATTGGTCTCATACAAACGGTCTTCTTTCCGGGTGAGATGTATCCCCAGATATTTTATGTCCCAGTTTGCCCATGCAAACTGAAAGCCCTGTTTGAGTGTTGTGGCGGTATCCAGGGTAGTATGAAGTGGCATCAGCTCGCATTTTGCTATATTGGCTTTAAAACACACTAGGGCGGTATAGCTTCAGAAGTTATACATTTGCTGTAATAATTCACGGTATAAGGGTATACAGCAACCGTTGTGCAACTGAGCCCCAGCTGCTATTCAGGTTTCGGTAATCGTTTTACAATTTTTCCCTACCCCAACTGCCCGCCTGTATATACATTAAACCCTTTATGTGAGGGAAGGGGATGCTGCAACCTTGCTAAAAGTCATCCTTTTTTTAAGCCAAGTCTGTCCCCAAGAGCATACGTCCCGTACCATGTGTGTGTGTCCTTAAGTCCGTCGGGACCCTATAACTGGTAACTGCTAAGCGAGGTCAGATTGGCTATGCATCCCATCCGTTCCTCCGTCCTGCTGCGATGTTCAGTATGATCGCTTGGGATCTGGCCCTTATGTGCTTTATATGGGTGAGGACCCAAATAGTCCACCTTTCCTCTTTCTGTGGATTCCTCTAACAAGGCTCGAAGTCCCGAGAAAGATAACATAGAGTTTGACGCTCTCTGTAGGTGTCCATCTCTGCCTCTGGGGGAGCTTGCTGAGGTGTTCCATCTCTGCCTCTGGGGGAGCCTTGACATGTCCGGTGCCGGTTGTGGTGTGTACCAATCCATCACTTGTGTGTCAGGCAAGTCCAAGGCTCTCAGGAAGGGTGCCACATCTTGGTGCATAGTTATGGATTGTGTGTTGCCTTTGTGGGAGATAATTAACGCAAATGGGAATCCTCATCTATATTTCATCTGTCTGGTCCTGAGGAGTTCTGTCACCAGTTTAAGCGTTCTCCTGGCTTGAAGTGTGAGCCAGGACAGGTCTGGGTAAACTTGGACTGCATTTCCATGAAAGAGTAATGAGAGTAGTGTCCCTTAGTGATTTTATGATTCGATCTTTCACTGTGAAATAGTGTAAACGACATATAATTTCTCTCAATGCGTGTGTCGCCGAGCCCTTTGGCCTGAGTGACCTGTGTACTCTATCAAATACAATTGGTGTATCACTGGGGTCCCGCAGGAGCAGGTTGAACAGTTCAGCCAGTAGAGCATTTAGGTCTTCGTCTGGAGATTCTGTTAGGTTGCATACCCGCTGATTTTTGCGGCGCCCTCCTGTTATCAATGTCGTCTATTGATCGTTGGAGGGCAGTGAGTAATTGCGCCTGTTTTTCCAGCGAGTTGGTTAATTGTAGCATTTGTGAATTGGTCATGTCCCTCTCTTCCTCCAGCTCGTTGACCCTGCGTCCCATGTGGCGGATGTCGGCACCATGGGTATCCAATTTGGTTTGGAACGTGGTTTCTAGTTTGCCTAGCATAGTGGCTAGGTCTACTTTAGAGGGTAGTAGTTTCAGTAGGTCCCTTATATCGGGCTCTTGGGATGTGTATGAGCCCTCGGATGGTGACAGGCTAGAAGGGTCCAACTCAGTATGCCTCATGGCCTCTGCCATTTTGCCATCCCTGCTGTCTCCATCAGGGTTCCCTGTGTCTCTGAAGAACTTCGTCAGGGAGCCAGATTTGCCCGCTGGGGTCTTCCCTGAGGTGTTCTGGGAAGAGTTCTGCCTTTTGGGGTTCCCCATGTCGTGCTGTTTTCTCCGATTGCAATGGATTGCTTTCCGAGTCAGAGGGAGCTGAATCAGTGTGCTTCCATTCAGTTCCTCGATAGGATACGCCCCTTCCTTCAAATAATTTATGTCTCTCCTTACCCCCTTAACTCCTTTTGTTTCTCACCATTGGGTCCTCCACCTGTATCTTTGTAAATAAACTTACAATGACAGTTCATTCGAAACATTCAAAATGTTTTTAAGCTAAATTTCCATCTTTAATAGAAAAGAGTGATTGGCAATTTTTTACTATATTTATTATCAGACGATAACAGTACACCATTCACGTACAAATTAGCCACCAGTGATGTAATGTGGCAGAAAGTATATATCTAACATGTTTGTACATTACGTAAGGGGATACCAGGGGCTTTCTTTGCTTTGCAAGGTCAAGGTGTGAGCTATTGTCACCAGAGCTCTGGGTACTAGCACTGGTCCAGGTGACTGAGCTTCATACTGCACATGCTTGAAGACTACAAATCCCATGATGCTCAGTGATTGGAAAAGACACGCCATGAAGTAACAATCCCCTTTGACGCCAGGAAGATTATATTTAAGGTGTCTTGCTAAATTTATTGTAACCTTACATGTAAAAAATATGCTGGAATTAATTTTACATTTGAAAAATGGGTGACCATATTAATGCTATCAAAAAAAGGTTAAAGGGGTGGTCTAAGCACCAAAATCACTTCCAGGGCTATTCACTATACTTCAAATTTATGTGAATTAAATCCAACTGGGGGGGAAAAAAACGGAGGCAAAAATAGCTGGATTTCGACAAAGAAGGAGTTTGAAAATTATTGTAGTTCAGCCATTTCCCCCCATTTTTCATTTGGATTGAATTTGTAAAGATTCAGATGTCGGTAAATAACCCTATTCATCATAGTGAAATCATTTTGTGGTATTTAGATAACAGCAAGGTATAAGCACAGACAGTGCTGTGATGTTTACATTTTGTAATGGCCAATGCCTTCTAGTGGGTGACAGACAGACAGTGACTCGGGGCTTCCAGCAGCAATAGATTCAATTATCCAGCATCAGGATACAAAGTACAGAGTATTGATTCTCATTGGGAATCATTGGATTGGCATATTGCAGAGCAGAATCTGCTTGGACAAAAATTACTAGATTGACCATTGTGGTAGGAGGATCGGGCTGCAGTAATGTGATTTTCTTGAGTGCAGTAATAAAGTTTTATGACTTTTCAAAAAATGTATTTTTTTTCATATTTAAGGCGGCCCTTTAATCTAAACTAACACAGCGACTTAAATGGCTATTATAAGCAACAAAACAACTTTAGCTTAATTAAAAAGTTATGGTGTATAGCTCATACCCCTGCAGTCTCACTGATCATTTCTCTATTATTTATAAATTCTTTATTTTTTGTGAGTTTTAGCAATGAGTACAACTTTTTATGTGAATAGCAGATAAACAATATGGATCCATCACCCAGCTGAACCTACTCAGATTTATTGTTATTAACTAAGACACCTACTCTCCCCCATAGGGCAGCTAATGAGCTTATAACTTGGTACATACAAGTAATGGGCTTCATGTGCCCTGAAACAATGGCTCTAGTAAGGCACGTGTGGTAAGTATATGCAGCTGGATAGCCTTCTATGGCTAGGGAGTGGAGCTTTAGTACGCTGGTGCTGAAACAGAAGGCCATGGTCGGAGTGTGCGGTGGTTGGCTGTAATGATAAAGGGGTACCGCCTGCGCGCTCTGTGTGGTGACGGGGAGAGGGGGACACAGGGATACACTATCTTAGAGCTATATCTAAAGCCTACGTAGCCAGGACAACAGAGGCATTGTAGGTAATCTCAACTAACATTAAAGATAAGGAAAAAAATAAACACATTTAAGGAACATTATGTGCAAGTTAGGGCACAGGTATCTGTAGCCACAGAGTTCAGGGTGGCAGTTCGGCAGCCTTGAGTGCTTCCCTTCTGGGCACAAACGGTGTGATTTCCGCTACATGGTGGCGGTGACTTCACCTCTGGCAGGCCGAGGGATTGCAGGAAGGCTGGTGCAACAGTGGGGTGTGATATGGCATATGTCTTGCCCGTTTTGTTGGCAAGTAGTCGGCGGGGGCCCCACATGTAGGAGATCGGGTTCTCTTGGAAGAGCTGGGTAATTGGCTTGAGATATCTCCGCCATGTCATAGTATGCCTTGAACTATGGACAGACACGCGAAACACATAGACCCACAACAATCAGGCGCTTGTTTGAGATGTGGACAGGACCTGGGCTCCACAATCCATATGTGGTGGATATGTCCCACCCTAACACGACTATAGTATGCCTTGAGAAGTCCCAATAAAATGCCAGCTGTGCCCCCTCAAAAGAGACTGTGGGGGTGCCCCGACTGCCCTCATGATAACTCCACGGTCAGAGTCCCGCACCAGTTTCAATAAGACATCCCTGAGTACCTCTTGGGCTGTGTTGGTTGCTTTGTTGAGTCGGAAGCAGGAATCCACTACAAGTTTCTTGGTCTGTTTGGGCATGAGGAGAGTGGCAATGAGTCTCCTGCAATAATGAGGGAGCTCTACTCCTGAAATCGTTTCAGGCACCCCCCTTATCTTCTGGTTGCGTGCCCTGGCCGTGTCCTCCATGTTGGCTATCTGGGCCTGATGGTCAGCACACTGCTTCTGCAATTTTCCTATGGCAGCATCTGTGCGAGCTTGGAGCCTTCCATGCTTTCCTACACTGAGTGCACTCGTGTTGTGAGGGTGAACACTGCTTCATGGACTGGCACCATGTCCGCATTAAACATGGCCTTGATCTCTTTCATTAAGGCTTTAATGTCTGCCTTAGTGGAGGGGACTGAGTCTTCCTTCTCTGTGTTCGCCTGTGGCCCTGTTCACCGCCTCGGTGGAGGGGAGAGGTCGGCTGTGCTGCTGTCTTCGTCCGAGGACAGTGGTGTATAGGCCTCAGCGGGCGCCATCTGGCGCGCACAAATGTGCCTATATCTCGGGAAACCCGAGCCCGGGTCAGAGTGCATCTTCTTATTTTTCTTCTCCATATCGTCAGGGATTGGACTGTAGTAATTGGAGCCCAGCAGTGGGGTCAATATCGACTCATATCTCGTTTTACCCGGGCCGAGATGCGTCTAGCTCATGCAGGTGCTGGTTCCGCCCCCGCCTTTCTCTATTATCTAAAAGTTAATTCACTTTGTTTATGGAACCCTAGCCACACCTCCCTGCATGTGACTTACACAGCCTTCCTAAATACTTCCTGTGTTTAAACTTCCTTTATTGCAAAGTATGATCCATTTAGAAATTTGTATCTCCTGAGGGAGCCTTCTGTGTATGATTAAAATTCAATTTACAACATTAGTTAAAATTTTATTGAAAAATTAAACCATTTTTTCATGCAGGCTGTGTGAGTCACAGCCAGGGGAAGTGTGGCTAGGGCTACATACACAGAAACAAGTGATTTAACTCCTAAATGGCAGAGAATTGAATAGTGAGACTGCAGAGGCATGGTCTAAAGTTGTTTAGATGCCTGTAGTATCTCTTTAAATAAGGAGATAAAAAGTTGACTTTAAAAATAAAAAAAGTATATATATATATATATATATATATATATATATATATATAGATATTTTCCAGCATAACATGCCCCTCTAATTTGCTCTATGATATAAGACAATATAAGGTTATTCACTAAACTAGGAATTGACCAGTGTATGTCAAATGTTAAGCCAACAACCAAAACATTGAAAATTAGTTACATTTAAGAATTTCTCCAAATCACGAATGAAAGCGCGTGTCTGACATCATTGCGCCTCCTGGCGCATCTTTGACTCCAGTGTCCCTGGCTCCGATTTTGGCTAATTGGGAAAGATGAGTAAGTATTTCTGAATTGCAAATAGTTTGTATTAATTATTTTGTCTATATAAAATTTATGTTAGCTTGATAAAGGTCTCATTTGGAGGTCGAAACGTTGCTGCCTTGTAATATGCATTGATCTTTATTAAAACTGCCACATAAGTCATCCTTGCAGTGCCCGGACCATCTCTGTTGTTCTACATGTGTATTGGGGTCCAAATGTGCACCTTGTGTTGGTGACTAAACTGCGGATTCCTCAAGTATAGTCATGGTTTAATTATGGTTAATCTCAGTTTGCGACTAGTTTTTCAAATAACCACAATTTATTGGGGGTTTTTTAGGGTCATTCACTAAATTGTGGATTGTTGGGACTAGACAAATGAATTACAAACATTATGCCAAAACAGCAGGATGGAGAATTTTCTAAATTCAACTAAAATTCATAAATAAGGGACAGTCTGGTTCTATATTGCATTTCTTTTCTTTCTTTTCAACTATGGTCATATCTCTTTTTCCTCTATGTAAGCAGACAAAACTACAAGTACCAGTGCGGTCATCCAGAGGATCCATTACAGTATAGGGGTTATAGTTTAAAATAAAATTAATAGATATTCTGACAGTGGCCACATGAACCAGGACAATACTGCTACTGCCCAGACATCATAAAAATGCCAGTTTCAGTCTCTGATCCCAATAAAGGAAAGCTAATTTATTCCAGAGGATATCTGAGAGCTGATTTTCTGTGTGGACTGTGTTCCCCAGGTTGACATTTGGCTCCTAGAGTCCTACACTCTAACAGTGATGGAACGTTTATAGAACGCTCAATGTATCTATTTTAGAATGTTTAATGGATTGACGGTTATTCATTGATTTTCTATGTATAAACATTTGGGGAATCAGAAAAGATTAGATCTGTACAAATCTACAAATAGCGTTATAATTCTAAGATAAGAAATTAGATCCAGCGGTATCTTAGTAAATATGCTCCACAGACAGCGCAGATGTTCTGCAATCTCAAATCTAGCAGTGTAAGGGTTAGGAATGATGCAGGCAAAATGACCATGTGCTGACTGAGGTCTCTCTTCTTTCCGCTAGGAGCTCTCCCTCCTTCCTGCTGTCCTCTCTCTCTGCCAAGCTGTCAGCTGATGGGACTGATCACCCAAGCGTGGAGCATGCAGCCGAATCAGCCCTCTCCCTCTCCATTCACAGCTTCTGTCCCCCCCCCTCCGCCGCCCCCCCATATGTCAGCACCCCATACACACAGGCACCCTCCCCAAAATACCTATAGAGTGCCTGATCCCCAGTGCCTTGATCAGATGTGTCCCAGCCTGCCTTTTAACCACTGCAGCAGACCATGCAAAGCTTAGCAAATAGTCCTTTGTTTACATGCAATCCCTTACTCTGCGGAAGAAGGGCTGGGATTTGGCTAGGGGTGGAGGAGAAGAGGGGGGGTTGCAAGAGGGGGAGGGGTGCTGTTTCTGATCTCTCACCAGCTGTTTCCCGCCTTGAAACAGACATCAGCTGCAAACACACACACTCACATAGAGAGGCTGAGCACAAGGAGACAGACAGACACCTCCCCCTTGATCATCTGGGACATCCTACACACTACACCATTGATCCCCCTTGCTACATTCTATCCCCTAAATCAATAGGACTGATCGGGGTTCCGTCTTTATTGAGCAAAGGATTGCTGCAAGAAGGGGGGTCGTCTTCAGGGGGGTGGGAGGGGTGCACGTTATTTTGGGGGGTGGAGGTAGATCCTCCTGCTGATTGCTATGGAGTATTTCATGATGCCCGCGCAGAAAGTACCATCCTTGCAACACTTCAGGAAGACGGAGAAAGAAGTCATTGGGGGGCTGTGCAGGTAGGTGCCCATCTTGGGGTGCAAGATTTCTCCCCCCTCTATTTTTTTTTGCATGCTGCAGTTCTCCTTAGATCACCTTGCAGACTCAAGGTAGAGGGAGGGAGGAGGATGAGATCAGCTGTGAGTGTTTGGCGAGGGGGAGTGGGTTACCCAGGGGTACCCCTGTTTTCACATGCATGTTGAGGGGTAGTAGAGGGTCTGGGCTGTAGGTGGGTGCTGTTGGAAGTGAGCAGAGGGCTGATTTAAAGGGCGCAGGGGATGGTTTGTCAGTTACAAACAGACCCACGTGGTGCTCCGGCCATGCTGCAGAGCTGTGATCATGGAGCATGCAAACACTGGGGAGGGAGGGGAGAGGGAAATCTGCCTACCCGGGGGTTGAATACAGTACTATCAACCCTTACTACCTCATCAACTACCCCCCGGAGGGGAAGAGGAGGGGGTAAAATCAACAGGGGCTGCTTTTAGTCTGCCTCCACTGGTAGCCCCCCTAACACACCTCCCATGCGATCAGCTGATTTCACACCATTTAAATTGCAATGGGGATTTCAGCAGGCAGCTAGCACCTGATGAGACCTGCTAATTACCCCTCCTGCTGGCTAATTAGTGTTTGGTGCATTAGAAGGAAGGAGGTGTTGTATTTACAAGGTCATGTTGTGCCTTTTTTATTTATATTTATATTTTTGTATGGCTTCTATTCTAAGCTGGGGATACCTGCATTGCCCATTGCAGGGGGCAGCCTGGCTTATTAATCAAGGTTCATTAGAAACATGCATTGCATTACTGGGGGTCCCATATACCTTCTACATGCATGCAAGGTCATGATTAGGATGCAGTACCCCTGGGATCACGTGGGGGTGCATGCCTAGGGTTCCCCTGCATTATACCTTGCAGGGGCTGCATGGGTCCACTGGGGGCACGCATTGCATTAATAGGGGCTGCTGCACCCCCTCCAACTGCATGCAAGGTTATTTTTATTGTGCAGTACCCCTGGGATATAATATGGGGGGCATGCCAGGGACCCCAACAATACCTGTAGTCCTGCATTAATGGACACATGGACTGGAGTACAAGGTCAAGGGACAGTGTTGGGGTGTGTAACATGGGGGACCCCCTGCTCCCACGTTGCAGACAGTGTAGCTGTAACACTCCCCCCACCTGTGTTTGTTGTTATCCCCCAGAAGGGGGCAATACCCCGGGGGGCCAGCAGGGGGCGGGAGCCTAGAGGGGAGGCTGGTGACTGAGAGCCGTAGCCGGGCTCCCTGAAGCCCCCCTCGGTGACCTTGCTGCCTGTCTCTCGGTAGCTGTGGGTGTGAGAGCCACAGCATCGCAGACAGGCCTGGCCGTGACTCTGCAGCCCGCCTGGAGTAGGAGTGTCGGAGCCCAAGGCGTGTCGGGAGATGTAGTGCGGCGGCGCAGGGGACGCCGGGAGATGTAGTCAGCACCTGGCCATGCTTTCCCCTAGCACAAAGCATGGCATAGCAGCAGGTCATGTGACCTGAGCATGCAGCTTGGTTCCATAGAAAGATTATAGTGTGTGTCTTGGGGTAGACATGGCCTCTTTATTTTGGGGCTAGTTATGTTTTATTAATATAGGAAAGTCTAATTTAGAGAAGGCAGTGGTGGTTACATTCATAGACTGTACTAGGGGCATGTAGTGTAAATATATAATACTGGCATGATTTTACACATAATATCCTTTAATTAATTGCTTTTGGCGTTCCTGTATTTATATGGTTTAGGATGCATTGATCTGTTTTTCTGTGTATTGCCTCAGTGCAGCCCTGCGTTATGTTTGATTTGGGGTCTTCGCACACTGTGTCCGTAGTGGCTGAAAGGATATTACTTTTTGCGACACCAGTTATTTATTTTTTATTTTATTTTTTTTCACATACGAAGACTGCCCTTGAAAATGTGAGGTGTCTAGATATCGGAATAATGTTTCAGATTAAATAATGTTTAGAAACCACTTGGTGGTAAAGGAGTATTACAGAATCTCAAAATGTAGCAGGAACATCTCGAGGCATAAAACTGGGCCGTATGAGAAAAGAAGAAGAAATAAAAAACAACCCAGAGATAATTGGGCCCAGTGAATATACAATTAGCTGGCTGTTTTGTGGGAGGAGGAGAATTGCATATTTGAAATCATAAACACAAAATGAGATCTATAGTGGTCATTTGCGTGAAACATAAGCAAAACTTCCACTGGGTATTAAAAGAAATTTTAAAAATAAACAAATCCGCTACTTGGTATAGACTGAGAGACTAGAGCAAGCTAAGTAACTGGACCTCCCGAGTAGGCACTTGGCCAATTCCTTTCCAAGAGGCCTAAACTTGATGTAGATATATAATATTGATATTAAAAAGGGAAACACAACTGTGGGGCCATGCTGTGTATTCAGGGTAAGCCAGGAGCCCATCCCCAGGCAGTAAAACATACATGAACACTGTGCAGATCAGTCCTGTAACGCCAGCTAACCGGAGCCGTTCCTCTAGGAGCCTAAGAGCAAGGCAGGAGTAGAGCCATGTTGCATCGCTTTGTGTGAATGTCTCCATCTACCTCGGTGGATGTGGGAATGATGGCTGTGTGTGGCGTTGCTTCCCTTGGTAGCCCATTGTTAGAAGAGGACAGCTTCATCCCAAGCCCATACGTTAAACGTGCCTAAGGTATCTTAGATGGTGAGTATCGTATCCTTCCTCCCAGTTGCCATATCAGAGCCCTGTCCCAGACTTGATTGGGGTGGCGTCTGAACATTGACACTTCTGCGAAGCTGCAATTTCTCCCAGAAGGCAGCACAAAAGCATTCAATCAAGGAGTGCCCCTTTTGAAGCTGTGCAGGCCTTGGGTAAGCTATGAAGCCTGCGGACTTGTGCCCAGTCGCCACTTAACGTGTGTGTATAAGGTGCACACTCGAGTACTTTACTCCCCGTCAAGGATTGGTAGCCGTAAATGCCAGGATAACCCTCACTGTCGAGGAGGGAGAAACTAAGTATTCATCTGACTCTTCTAAAATCTGAGAATGGGAGGACAGAGGGATCTGTGGCCTCCCTAACGCCCGTTTTGTCTAGTGGGCCATAGGGCTGCCTTGTCATGTGATGAATGCTGTTAAAAAGGCTAAAATTCAGCAGGTCTCCCTTGGATCTCAAGCAATGTGTGACCCCCCCAACTTTTTTTTTTGTTTTGTTTTTTTTCAGTGGAATACCCTAATTAGAAATTCTAAAATATAAATTAGCCCCATATTAGAGCTAGTTGGTAAATCTGAATTTAAAAAAACGTAATTGTGTAATGTGACGGTTTTGGAAAATTCTCCAGTTGTGCTATTCTAGATTCAATTTTTCCAAAAATTTGCGCTTAGTGAGTAATTCTGCGTGAGCAGTAATTTTGCTAATTAATGGCAAAAAATAAAATCTGCAGAACAAGTGAACTGTGAAATAAACAACAATGTTGGAAAGAATAAAAAATAACATTCTACGATAGGCAAGTGTGATCTCGAGTGAAGAAGAAAAAAAACTGAATCAGCTACCATATATCAAAAAGTAAAATAATTTTACTTCATCACAGCAGTGGGTATAGTAGAGAATGAAAAACCCACAAACTGTTACAAAAATCAAAAAGATCTTTCACACGTGAATGTTTTGAGGTGGACCACAAATTTACTATGAGACTGTGCAGGAGACTCCTAGTCTGCGAAAAGTAGGACCAACTTACTAATAGTTGACCCCTTCCCTCCCAATAACGTGTGCGCAAATGTAGCAGAGGTATGCATGTATAACCCAACTCTATCTATACACATTGCTCACTAACTTACAAATAAGATACCTGATGTACTTTTTGTTTGAGGCTTTTTACCTTGTTAAGCAAGGATCAATTAACGTAGTGTGGTTTTGTCATTAAGTAAATATATATAATGCTCTGGATTATGGTATCACAAGGTTCTGATCTTTCTATGACTGGTTGTGTTGACATATCTAGCCCCCTGTAGAAGCAATGATTAGAACATTGGAAAGTGCTTGAAAGACATTTCTTTAAAGAGAACTGTCACTTTTCTGAAGGTGACAATTACTCATTCGTTCAATTCTTACTAAAGTGATAACGGAGTTATGTAGAGCAGCAGAAATTGGTAAGTGATGCTGTGAGTGCATTCGTGGTGGTTGGGAATCCAGAGTTACTCCATACGAGCGTAGAAGGATTGGGGTCCTACCCAAGTTACCAGTTTGGGGCTCTCCTTTTATTCTTTACATGGATGGTTAATTGGGCCCTTGGTAGCTGCAAATGGTCACCTTATAGGTAACATTTCTCTGATGTCTATCCTTACCCCCTCAGTCCTTTTTATGCATATCCTCCCCTCAGGACATTACAAATTCAATTATACAAACGGTTCAGATGTGACCGCTCTGATTTTATTTTAGTTTTTTAATAAAATCCCTTTAGGGGAACTCCCCTGCTACAAATAAATCATTTAAATGTAGCTGGACAGGGCAATTTATTATAGCAATAAATGCAAGTAGTAATTGTTTTATTTGTCTGTCTCTGATCTTGAAAGAGTAAAATTCTACATTCAAGTTGTAAAGTTAAAATTTTGGGCCATATTTGAAGAAAACCTCCCCTGTGAGTTGTTTTCATTTGGCCCATAAATTTGGAATTCAGTGGGCGTTGATGACCGATCACACACTGGATATTATTAGTATTTATACAGCACCAGCATATTCCGTAGCACTTTACAATATTATTATTTAACAGTAAATGAGACAATTACAAAAACTTACAGGAACAATAGGATGAAAAAAGCTAGAGGAATATCGGTGCTTTTAAAGAAGTGTGCAACAAGATTTGAAGAGATGGTTTTGATTCCGTGCAACAGTCAGCGTCCACACTAAAGGTAGGTCCTGGAAAGACCACAGGACTGAAATACGGAAGGGCTTGAAGTGGCCGTCTGAGTAATAGCACCTAGAGGTGCTAACAGGGAACAATGTAAACACTATCTTGTCCCTGAAAAGGCAGCGTTTACATTGTAAAGCCTGTAGGCACCATAACAACTACATTAAGCTGAATTGGTTCTGGTGACTAGTGTTCCTTTAAAGTAGCGCTGTTCCTTTTGGGGCCTTTGTGTTTTGTTTTTTTGTGCGCAAAGACTATACAAGGAGGCATGGGAGGAGGAGAAAGGGAAATACACTTACCTCAAAGAGACACTCCAGTCCCTTAAATCACCTTAACTAGCTGTAGTGCTTTATGTATAAAGAGTTTGTCCTTGTGACGCTCCTTAAGGAGCCACAGGCTTCTATCGCATATTGCTTAAGTTTATGACTTTTGTTTCCGTCAGCCATCTGTCTCTTGTCAAAGGTTGGCTGGCAAGTGCACATCTGGCCGTAACCAATCAGAAGAGTGTCTGAAATGAATACTATAAACTTACAAACGTTTATGGACATTCCTGTTTGACTAATCTTGACCGTGTGGGAATGTGTGTAGGGGAAGGGACATCAGCAGCTGGAAAGCAGAGATTTTTTTATTTATTTTTCTGGCCTCCACAAAATTATTTTTATTTTTATCCTATGATTTTGAAAAATAACTTAAATATTTTTTTTCTATTGGTGATTAACAGGGCACTTATTTTATACAACATTTGAATGTGTATTTCAGATGCTCAAAAATAATAATAAACTAAGGAAAATACAAACAAAATGGTCTAAATAAACTTAATCCTATCAGGATTGGGTCCACAATCTGTTTAGTGATTAAACCCCCCTTTTTACTGTATTCTATCCCCTTAAGGACACAACGTCTGGAATAAAGGGGAGTCATGATGGAATATTTCCGTCATGTGTCCTTAAGGGGTTTAAAAAACAAAATAAAGGTAAACAACATCACGTTTGTTAAAGTTTCTGAAAGAACCCCCCCAAAAAAAGTTACTGTAGCTTTTTAAAATCCTCACTTGCCTAGGCTGGGTCTCTGTTGAGGGGACAATCTGAGTGTTTAATGGACCCTCCACCCCAATAGTTGTCGAATACCTGCATGCATTCTATCCATGACCGTGTGTTCTCTGATTGCTCTGTAAGAGGTGAGCCGCAAGCAGGTGACCAGGTGTTTCAAAGGAAATCCCCGGGACTTTTGATTTTTATGATGCTTAGAGGAGTGTAAAATCGGTACGGATCATTCAGATTTTATAATAAAGAATGCTAAGAAAGATTTAAAAGTCATTGTCTGGTTTGGTTTCTTTTTTGCTATTTTGTGCCCATCACCCACAGTGTGCAAGCAGGAAGAACTCTGAACGTTTATTGATTTGTTAAAAACCATAACTCTTTCCTAGGCAGTAACAGTTTTTTAAAATACGCTGATCATGTTTGTTCGGACCGTTTTTGTCTGCAATGGCAGAGACTTGTTTGTAAATCAAAGTTATTTGTTTTATTTAAAGGAACTCTCTAAGCACCATAACCACTCAGGAGTGCCCCGGCACATACTCCCCTGTCCCCCATTGTCTCTGTAAGTACTTATTTGCTGGGGGTTACTCACCCACCTACGCTGCTGCATAATGAGACTGAGGCTTGTTCTCAGGATCGTCTGTTGTCTAAGTCCTGCTGCCAACATGCTTGAAGGGACCTTTCCCTGAGCAGTAGTGGTGGTGGGGGAATGGTACTTGTGAGAAACCAGGTAACCTTACGCTTTGGGGGGGGGTATCAGAGCAGTCCTGGCACTAACCACTACATGTGCGTCAGTGGTTAAGGTTCTTGACGTGTGCCTTTAAGAAAAAGAATGTGGCTTCCTCAAAATGCCACCAGAGTGTAAGAAAGTATAATTTCTGTATTGCAATTTGGGAGACTAGGTGTTCCAAAACTTCTAACGATACTTCTTGTTTAATGTGTTTGTCAAAGAACCATAACCACTTCAATGATTTCAAGAAGTCATGGTACCTGGAGTATATGAAGTGTTTCAATATGTAACACCTCACGTACAAAGTTTACCCTTCTGCTGTAGGTTTCTCTACACCTCTGGCTGCGCCATTAATTGGCATGGAATGCGTGCCCCCTCCTGTGCTGTCTATGTCCCCACCTCTGCCATCCTTGCTCTGGTGAAACAAGCTATGGAGGATTGGGTTGCAGAAAAAAGTTAACAGTGCTATTTCGAGGTGATTTTAAAAAAATAAAAATATTTTTTTTGAGGGGGCAACACAGCAAGGGTTACTCTAACCAAAACAGTGTTTTTTAGTGAGAATAACCCTTTGAGTCTGTAGAGAATCCTACGTAAGGTGTCTGTTTTCTTGTTCTGCTGCCCTTAAATGAGCCCATTAAGAGTTACTGTACAGGCAAGTGGAAACTGAGCGTTTTTAGTGTGAAATACAGGGTTTATGAAAATCCCAATCCGAAACACTCATCGGGTATGTTCGCTGGAACGTATATCAAACCAAAAGTTAATTCCCCTGTAAGCAGTGCAGTATATCCTGGAGCTAAAATAAAATGTGTGGGATAATGATTTGCCCCTGGGGGCAGGAGCAGACAATATTTGGCATCAACTTCTCTCCACCGACGCAGCTTATTGGGTTCAGTGCGAATATTTCTCTGTAGCTGGGCTATCTCACTATATATGAGAGATCAGAATTTACGCTATGCTAATAACTGCACCACTTCTTTTACACAGGGTTGGAGTTACACGTGTGTTCTGCTTTGATTCCTATATTTATATTCTGATTATATTTTTGCTTTTTAAGTGGCGCCAACTTATTCTGCAGCGCTTATATTAAATCTATATTAAAAGACCCCAAATTATTGGTGAGATCGTATCCCCTTTTACAAGATACAAGTAAAGCTAGATTAAAGTGACACTTGCAGATAGTGTTATAAAAATAATCATATATGGATTACACAAAGAATTTTGTTCTTGGCCCAAAAAGTGCGGAATACATTAAAAAAATAAAAAGGTCAATCCCTCCCACCCTACCACAACATAGTAGAATGATTGGTAATTTATTTATTTATTTTTTTGGGGGGGGGGGGGCACACAATAATTTGGTCAGAAGAGCTCACACTTCATTCTCTAATTCATACACATCCTTCTTATCTGTACTGAATGGGTTCAATATACATGGCCTAGTAATGATGGTAGGAAGGAAGTTCAATCAGTGAAACGTTGCAAGTGATTTAAATCTATTTGATATAATTTTAACATTTACAAGGTCCCTTTAAGTCTTCTCTGTAGGCTTCAGCCCTACCCCAATAAGTGTTGGCACATGCAGATATTAGGCGTTTTATTTTTTTGCGGGGACCTGGAGGTTGTCTTCTCAATTTGAATTTGGCAGCTCTTTGTTGACTTATCAGTAAAACATCCCGCTGAGTTTATTTTCAGAGGTCCCTGAGACTTACTGCCTGGTTCACTTAAGCAAATATACAGATTGTGACAATCCTCTCCTGACCCTCTGCTTATAATCTGGGTTTGGTGAATAGCAAGTGTGCACAGTACCGAACGCATGAACTAACGTGTGCGTGAGTCAATTCCTGGTGTGGGTTTTAAAAGATGTCCAGATTGTTACTTTGAAAGAGGTACATTAACCTCTTCACTGCCACTTCATTGACATAAGGATATTACAAGTAACGGATCCCTGTATTCTATATTTTGACTTTTAACTCGTAGGGTTAATTCTGGAATGCTACATATTTTGAACATTCAGGTGTCCCATTGCCCTGCTCTGTCCTCTAGTTAATCACGTCCTGTGACTAATCCGAACTATCATGAGGGGAAAATATCTGGTGGGGGCAGGAAGCAGGAGTTCCCCCTCAGACCCCTGTGGGGGTCAGCTGCCTTCCTTCTCCCCCTGTATTGTCATCTGGAAGTGATTACTGGGCCCTCAAGGCAAGGGGGGTGTGGGGGGGGGTTAGATCCGGCTTCCAACCCTTCCGAAAAGAGGCCACACACGGAGGTGCGTGAATGGGTCACTCTGTGTGCTGGCCAAAAAGTGAGCTACGCCCTTTGTAACCCCTCCTGCCATGTATAGGCCAAAAAACAGACATTCAGTTCTTTCTAAACTTCCAAAATCTTCCATTTTTATGGGTTAATGATGCTTTTTAAATTGCTCGAAATATGCAGTTTTTAAAGACCTTTTAAGATGGTGGGATAGGGGATAGCCAACAGGTAGCTCTTGGCTTTTGTAAAACTTCCTTTTTAAGCTTGCAAAGTATCATGGGGTTTGTAGTTCTGCAACAGCTGGATAACAACCTATTGGCTACCCCTCCTTACAGGCAATCTGTTGACAGAAAATCCCATTTTCGTAAGTGGGAGGGTGAACGGGGCGAGAGGAGTTGCTCATCCTGGAGAACAAAAGTTTAAAAGAGCACTATATACTGGAGACTAGACGTGACACTTATTGTGACTGAGTATCTGTGTTTTATGGTGTCTTTTTCCCTATATAGGAAGTGGCTTTTATCTGTTCTAAAACCAACATAATCCCCTGTTCATTGATGCTGCCCTGTCTGTGATTTAGACTTTTTCAGCCAGAAAACAAGACTAACTGGTGACGCATAACTGCACAGTAAAGCAACACTCTCCATTGTGATTTACAGACTTGTTACCAGCAAGTTAATGCCAAGGTTGTGCGTGATCTGCGTCAAAATTCAGCCCAAAGGAGTTAGTAATTGTACAGCGCTGCGGAATATGTTAGCGCTAGATAAATACGAAATTGAAATAATAAAGGACTATGAGTTAACAGCTGCAGAAGTGACTCTCTTTATATCAGAGATGTCCTTTTTTTTTTTTCATTATGTTGGAGTCAAACGATACAGAATTTCTTTGAATTACTCATTTTTTATTTATTTAACGTAACATTCCCTTATTTAATGACCATGAATTATTTGGTATTGTTAATCTCTCACTATTTGGGGTGCTGTCGAAGCACTTAATTGGCACAGTTTGATCCTCAAGGGAATTATCTGTTGGCTGATTATTAAGCTCAAGTCCCCATCTCCAGGGAGCTGTAGTGTTTATAGTGCCTAGAGTGCCCCTTTAAGTTTGTGTGTTTAGGGGGGTTTGAATATTTCTTTAGCCCATGTTTGTAAAAGTCCATTCCGTGTCTAAATGTGCGATTTATGTCCCCCAGCTTGGCCAACATCCCACTCACGCCGGAGACGCAGCGAGATCAGGAGCGGAGGATCCGGCGCGAAATCGCCAACAGCAATGAACGACGCCGAATGCAGAGTATTAATGCCGGCTTCCAGTCTCTGAAAACCCTTATACCTCATACCGATGGGGAAAAATTAAGCAAGGTGAGCGGAAATCACATTTAAAAAAAATATATATATAATAATAATAAACTTTATAAAGTGATTTTAAAAAAAGATACAAAATACAGCACGTGGCCTAGTTTAAAAGATCTAATTATACATTTACTCGTATTTTCCAGTGTGTATCTGAGCTTCTTCCTGATTGGCTGCTAATTTGTATCTTGTTTTAATAAATGCTGCTTTGAGTAGGGAGCAATAATCTAGTTGTAAATAATAAATGCCCCGAGCAGAACAGGTTCCTTGGCAAGTGGATGGAATGTAAAGTACAAAAAATCTTTTGAAACCTTCTGCCTGGTTTTAAAACATCATGTTAAAATAATAATTAGATCACTTTAATGTTCTATTAGTAATTGTAATATGTGTTTTATTGAATAGTAGGATGACTTTACAGTGACTGTGCCAAATGTTAGAAGCCAGTCAGAATTGAGAACACACACTTTAATAGCCTCAATTTAATATTGGCTAAATGGTTTTAAAATTTAGAAATTTTTTTTTTTTTTTTTTTTTTTTAATATCTTTATAAATAAATATATGTCAAACATATTGAAAACTTTAAATATCTTTCATAATTTTTCTTTTTTAAGTTTATCCAAGAACATAGAATCATTTGAAAAGCTTAATCTTCCCCCTACCCCCCCAAAAGAAAATGTAATCGAGGCCTTAATTAGCTATAGTCTCTAACTATAACTGCACTCAGTCATATTCTTTCTGCCAGTCTCGCGCACATCAAACTTGCTGGACTCTATTTGCACGCACTCACTATTTAGCCATTAAAGGACCACTCTAGGCACCCAGACCACTTCAGCTTAATGAAGTGGTCTGGGTGCCAGGTCCAGCTAGGGTTAACCCATTTTTTTTTTTTTTTTTTTATAAACATAGCAGTTTCAGAGAAACTGCTATGTTTATCAATGGGTTAAGCCTTCCCCCAAATCCTCTAGTGGCTGTCTCATTGACAGCCGCTAGAGGCGCTTGCGTGCTTCTCACTGTGATTTTTCACAGTGAGAGCACACCAGCGTCCATAGGAAAGCATTGATAATGCTTTCCTATGCGACCGACTGAATGCGCACGCAGCTCTTGACGCGCGTGCACATTCAGCCGACGGGGCGGATCTGAGGAGGAGAGCTCCCCGCCCAGCGCTGGAAAAAGGTAAGTTTTTACCCCTTTCCAGAGCCGGGCGGGAGGGGCCCTGAGGGTGGGGGCACCCTCGGGGCACTATAGTGCCAGGAAAACGAGTATGTTTCCCTGGCACTATAGTGGTCCTTTAACGCACATTTAGGAAGATGTCTATAAAACGGATTCTTTGACAAAGTTCTAAATGTTGAAACATCCCTATAGAAACCCATGGATCGATCATTCCTGTAAATTGTTCCAGCGTCTAGAAATGTGATCTAGAGTTATACTTAACAAGCAATTACTACTGGTGGAATGTACAACCTTGAATGTCCCTGTCTCAAAAAGAAGAAAATATAATTTTTTTTTTTTTTTTTTTTAAATTCATTTTTTTAATTTATTTTATTTCCTCTTGGCATTGTTGTTGTTTGTACCACTGTTTTAATTCCCTTTTGATGTGACTGTAGTTTTATTGTTTGGCCCCGTAATTTTTCCCATCGGCACATGAAATCAAAATATCTTATTCTGTTTATTTTATGGAGGACCTTGTTATTTTTAACTTTTTCCTCCAGTATTTTAGAGAATCGTGCGATGAATGTAGAGGATTTATTTATTTATTTTCATTATCTTGGCTGCTGGGACAGGCTTGGTCAAGGTCTGAGAATCTTTGAAACCTTATTTTTGCAGTTTTGACTTCGCTACAAATGTTCTCCGATATTCTTTACACTGAGATCTATTGAATAATAACCAGAGGATTTCCCTTTTTTTTTTATTTTTTTTTTTTTATTATTATTATTAATAATAATATTTTAAATTTTAGGCCATGATAGTTGAACTAAAATTAAATAAATAATATCCATCTTGGCTATTTTGGCCTAAATTATTAACTTCCCTGCTCTCTTCTCAGCTCTTCATGGTTTAGTGAAAGAAAATGAAATTACATTTATTGTTGATTTGACTTTAAAAGCAGACCAATCATCTAATTTCCCCTCCTCTCCACCAATCAAAACTATAATAGCCTCTGCTAAATGACTATTACTACAATAAAGGATGGATTTATTTTTATTGTAGTGGCCTTTGTTGGCAGCCTTATTCATTTTGCTTTTATCCTCTTATAGGCAGCAATCTTACAGCAAACCGCGGAGTATATATTCTCTTTGGAGCAGGAGAAGACTCGGTTACTGCAGCAGAACACTCAGCTTAAGAGGTTCATCCAGGTAAGTGCTGCCGGAGGTTTGACCTGTGGCTTGCTGGCAGTCAAGGGGTTGATATTACAGCTGCGGTTGAATTAACGTTCCGGCGGTCCTGCAGGTGTTTATGGTATGCTCTCTGTCTTTCTGGTAGGAATTCAACGGCTCATCCCCCAAACGGCGGAGAGCGGAGGATAAAGATGAGGGTATCGGCTCGCCGGATATCTGGGAGGAGGAAAAGGCAGATGATCTGCGGAGGGAAATGATTGAGCTCAGGCAGCAGCTCGACAAAGAACGGTCTGTGAGGATGATGCTGGAGGAACAGGTGCGTAAACTCAAAATTATACAGCAAACCGTGGTAAAAAGTGTACAAAAAATTCACATACAGTGACAAAAAAAATGAAAGCAATAATAGTGGAAAATAAGGCTTGAGAATTAATTGTGTGTGTGTGTGTGTGTGTGTGTGTGGCCGGTGCAATTAAAATCTAAGGCTATTCTCTCCTTCCCTACATTTTTATAACCCTCTGCTGATCTGCATCCCGAGAATCCGTATAATTCCTATTGAGAGGTCCAATATCCCACCTTGACAGATACCCTATGTGCTGCGCATAGAGCTGAGCCAGAAGGTTGGGGAAATGTGTGCCATAGGTTTAGCTCATGCGTAGCCGCTTCCTATTGGTTGATCTGACTTCATGCTGCTGATTGGCTGACAGGTGCGGGCCCTGGAGGCGCACATGTACCCTGAGAAGCTAAAGGCGATTGCTCAGCAAATCCAACAAGAGGAAGAGGGGGGGCAGACACAGGGGGAGCAGCACAAGGCACTGGAGAGGAGCGAGCAGCACTTCCACTCCCAGGTGAGTGCCGAAACGCTACCCTCATCAGACTGGCTGCTCCTCCCCTCCTGCCTCCTAGTGTGCACTTACCACTAGATACCAACCTGCTGCTTCTCATAATCATTGTCTTCTTTGCCCATCCTTCACTCCCTACATCAGATCTGCATGCCATCTCCCTTCTGTTAGATCTGCTTTTGCACCTTGTGATCAGTAGCCATTTTTATATTCAATATATCGGTTTTATTTAGGATTTCTATTTTGATATAACTTCTTCCTGCCTGTTCATTTTTTAATATATTTATTTTTTTTTGTAATCTTTTTGGTTTACATTCATTTAGTTTTGCAGTCATGCATTAACATAATTTTTGTTCCTTTTTTTTGTTTTTTTTTAATATAATTTTTTATTTTTGTTTTTATTTTATTTTTCTCCTGCCCTTGCAGCTCCTGCAACCACATCTGCCCCTGGCGCCCACTCACCATCCCACTGTCATCGTACCCGCCCCACCTCCCCCCTCTCATCACGTCAACGTTGTGACTTTGGGGCATTCATCAGTAATCAGCTCAGTGTCCACGTCCCGGCAGAATCTGGACACCATTGTGCAGGTCAGTAGCACAGAGTGAGCGGAATATAATCGCCATGCTAATATTTAATTCAATTTAGTTTGTATGGTTGAGGAAGGACTGGGGGAAAAAAATACACCAAAGGATAACTGCATTTTTAAAAATAAACTTCTTTTTGTAATTGGGCAGAATTGTTTGGGTTATGGAAGAATCCTTCTTTTTTTTTTTTTTTTCTTTTTTTTTTCTTATCTTCCCTCCCTGCTAGTATTTGGTTGCTTGTAGCATAACGATTTTCTTATCCCTCAAAAAAAAATAAAAAAATTATTTATATAGAGGACTATGCAAGAATTACAATTGTGTTGTAGACTTGTTAAAGACCATAGTCCACTGGGGCTTTCTGCATTTTCCAATGGCAATAGCTCCTAGATCATTTGTCCCACTCTGATTTTATGTATCCGAGATGGCCAAAGTGGAGCATCTTTTGCTGCTTCATAACGAAGCTTTGCATAGCATTGTGGGGGATGAATTTCTGCAAGATATTGGGACTTCCTGCCATGACCCGCCTCCCCCCTCCCTTCAGACCCACTGTGTCTTGATAGAGAGCACAGACAAACCATTTAGCTGTCTTACAGAACATTGATGGTCAGACATGGAGTTTTAGTGGTTTCTGATTTAAAGGAACACTATAGTATTAGAAAAGAATGTTTAGGTGGCCAGCCCCCCTCTCAGTGGTAATAAATGGTGGCTGGCCCAGTCTCCATGGCTGGGATCACCAATCTTGATCATCTCTATTAGTCCAATACTTTCCCATAGGAAGACATTGGGAGGCTATCGTGCGTGCGCGTCAAAATGCCATGCTGCTCCAATCAGCATCTACTCGTAGAGATGCATTGAATGAATTAATCTTCATGGGGAGCGCTCAGCGTCTGTAGTGCCAAAATAACTGTCATTCACAGTTAGCACTCTTCCAGAACATGTCGATCCAGCTAGCCAAACTGGTAGATGACCATTTATTTTTCCTCTGAACGTTTGTAGCGCATACTGCTGATTCCATCTGTATAGATATAATCTACGTGTATGCCGGTTGCTGCATGTGCTTTTGTGAGCCCCCACAATGCCCAGCGAGCTCCAGTCAGGCATTGTAGCAGCTCACCGGAGTTCTAATCTGTGCACTTGTGGTTTTGTTCACCAAATCTTGAGTTGTGGTGACGTGAAAACTACATTTCAAAATCTGACTAGAAATGTTGATGGCATAACTTTTTTTTTTTTTTTTTTAATATATATTTTATTTTTCTTTCCCCTCTGCCACAGGCCATACAGCATATTGAAGGCACACGAGAGAAACAGCTGCAGGAAGAGGAGCAGCGGAGGGCGGTTATTGTAAACGCTCCACGTCCTTGTGGTGATTCTGACACCGCGTCAGATACAGAATGCGATGAAAGCGATGGGGAACAAAGCAAGGATGACATGATGGGCGACCACTGACATCCACTGCCTTACCCCAAAAAGGGAGCGCAACCAAGAGACTGTGGGGATTGTAGGGGAAGAGGCGGCGAGGTTACGTGAGGTGATTATCATGGGCTTGCTTCCCGTCTTCCAGCCTTCTTCCCAAATCAGTAGTGTGTTGATTGGGGCAGTTCCAATTCTAACCTCTAAGATACTGTAATACATTGCGGAAGAATGGGTTAAAGCACTAAGGGATTGACCTGGTCTAAGTAAAAAACGCAAGGAATTCTGGGAGGAGTGACTGTGGAGGAGGTGCTCATAAATAGATCTCTAAAGGGTTAAAGCAGCAGTCCCTCCTTTTTTTGTTTGTGGGGATAAAGTAAAGAGACCCTTTTTCCATAAGGTAGAGTTTGAAAGTTAGTCTGCACTTGTCTTAACGTTTTTGTTTTTTGAATATTCAAAATGTTTGCTCTAGTAGAGATTATAAAGAAACCACACAATTTATACACACTTTATATTTCTATATTTTTATAGATCAAGTGTGCGCGCGTGTGTGAGAATTTCATATAAAATGTGTTCTGGCCACATCATAGTCTGTCTATGCACCATAACCACTACTCCACTCTGTAGTGGTTGTGGTGACCCTTTTATTTGGCTTATTCTTGTTATGTCTGATATTGGCCCAAAGACAGCTGGTCATGGCTTAAAAAAAAAAAAAAAAAGACTTTAAACCAAAGATTAATCACAAATTGGTATCTTCTATTTTTATTTTTTTTATTGGCAACAGAATTCGACTTGCAATGTATTGTGATGCATTTGGATTAAGGCATTGAAGGGAATAGTATTTTTCCCCTTTTTTAAAAAAAACAAAAAACAAAATAATTAACCCTCCCTTTAGCAGAAGAATTCCAGGGTTTTGTTTTTGTTTTTTTGTCTTTGCATTGGCCAATGGCCCACCATTATTAAAATCAGCTGTGTTTTTTGCTAAAGATTGGGCATAATTTTAAGCCACTCCTTAAATACCGTTTTAGAAGTTCATGAGTGTATAAATTATATTGTTTGGTACTCTCATTTAGGAAGCTAGTGTGTAGAAATCAGACTGCATTGTCCTGTCCTGTGACTTGTAAGATGACCGCTTTTTGGTAATCTTGCTTCACTCTCCAACTTTTCAAGTTTTGGGTCTTTAGACGAAGTATAGACTTGTGGTTCCCAACCAACAGGAGAGCAGAATTCTGTCTTAGTAAACTTTAAAGCGGCTCGGTCACCTTCTAGGGTCTCTGCATGATTTGCTAAGACCCCTGACAGGGACTTGCCATTGGGTGTCTGGTTGCCTTGTGGTGCAAGGGAAGGTGAGTTGTACTTGCCTGTGCCTTGCTGCCACCACCATACTCTTCCTTCCAGTCTTCTCCAGCTGCCAGGAACCCACATCAGCATTGGACCCTTGCGAATTCACAAGACTACAACACCGAGGTCTATCCCTGCGGGATCCTCCATAGGCAGAAGATTTGACAAAATGTAGTTGTCTTATTTTTCCTACACTGGACAAGAGGGCAAGGTAGTCCCTATTCTTTGACTAGGTTGGCATTTCGGTGAAATTCCAATACCGTCAATAGGAGTATTTCAGTAAGATGCTATCTTTAATAAAATACTCATTTTTGAGTGGGGGAGAGGGTGACCGTGTCGCTTCAAGGATTGGATTGTAAACCACTGGTATACACTTAGCGAGAGGATTTCTGTTGCTGCTTAGTCCCAACCAGAGCTTAAAATTAATTTTATTTCCAAAGCTACTAACAAGTCCTTAACTTGCTCGGCACTGCTAGCCTAACTAAGACCAGGGGTGAATTTTCACTCTGCAATGGATGGTGGTGAGTGGAACTGTGATCACAATAAATAGATATCTTGATTGTGATCTTGGTTAGTTTGTGGGGGAGGTTTCTTCTCCTAGAAGTCTTCCGTGGTTTATGGATGGGCTTATTTAACAAATAGAAATGTTAGTCTCCCCTGTGCTTTCCCAACACATGAGCCTAAATCTAACAAGGCTGGTAGCTGAAACCAAAGTATACAGGTTCAGTACTGTCGCAGCGAGGCTCAAATAAACACGATGTACAGCACACTTTAGAAAAGAGTGCTTAAGGGGATTTCGTTTGGTCGTTTGTCATTCTCCTTCACTTTTAAGATTACTGTAGAATCCCTGTTGTTCCTTTCCTCAGTGCTGTTATGTTAAGTCTTCCTAGGTCGGGAGCAGTGCTTACCAATCCAGAGTCAATTCCTTTTTTTTTTTTTTTTTTGTTCTTTTTTTTTGCCAATTTGTTGTACAAACTAAGCAAAGGGTGCACATGTAAGCTTGTTTGGACAGGGCCCTCTTCCCTTACTGTCCCCCGTATCTCACATGCCTTATTAGAATTTGTTTGTCTGGCTTTAGCTCTTGTACATCACTGCGGAATACGTTGGCGCTATCTAAATTGTATTTGTAGGCGTGCTCAAATATGACTGATGTCATTGCAGGGTAAAGCAGAATTCTTTTTCAATTTGGTAAATCCTGCACCTGACCTATGTTAACTTATAGGAAAACTATAGTGCGTACGCACACCTGTGGCACATAATGTGTTAACGAACCCTTTATTCACTTACCCAATTCAAGCGTCAATGTCCCTTTATGTTTCCTATGGAGTTTTCTCTCACGGTAAATATCCTCATGCAAAGCGTTGGGGTATCCAGCATCGTTTTACAAGAGTCAAACTCTGTGAAACTCCAGGAAGCGCCTCTAGTGACTCTCTGCTAGACAGCCACTAGAGGCAGTCTTAGTCCTGCATTGTAAACGTTGGAGTTTCTCAAAAACTGCACCCAGACTACTTCAATGAGATGAAGTGGACTGGGTGCCCATAGTGTCCTTATAAAGGAACCCTTAAAACACTATAACCTCTAGAGCCAGCTATTGTGGTTATAGTGCCTGCAGTGCCCCATTCCATCGCAGTTTGACATTTTACCCGCTGGGCGCCCTTGCTGCATCTATTTTTGGATTGGTTTATTGAGCAAAGGACGGCTGATGCAGGACAGTTCTCATTGGCTGAGAATGCACAGCTAACACTTAGTGACCGTGATCCTGTATGGTCGTGCTTTGTTCAGTAGAGCAGGTTGGCTTGACTGTTTGACATCTTACCGCGGGATGGTGCCAGGGCACATCTAGCACTGTAAACACTACAGTAGACTGCAGTGGTTTTGGTGCATGGAGTATGCCTTTTAAAAGGACCATGAAATCACTGCAGGAATTGAAAGATGTGATTTTTTTTTTTTTTTATAGATGCTTTTAAAACTGAAACTCAACTAAAAAAAAAATAAATATATTTTAAATGGGAAAACACTGCGTTTAGGTCTATCTCCCAGAAATAAACGCTTTACAAGAAGGGTGTCCAAACAGCTGGACTACATTGCCATCATTCTCTCCAGCTGGAAAGCTATTCCTAAGACTTCTTACCATGTAAGGGGGACTGCTGCTTTCAAAGCCTGTATGCGTTTTTGGCAGGTTTATTGTGGAACTGACACTTCACTACGCAAATGCTGGTTTCTATGTGATCATATGCAAGCCCATCTTGGTAGTCAACAAGGTTAGTCACACTTAATGACAGTGAATGTCTTTTCATAGATTAAAACCAGTTGTCTTAAAAAAATTAAAATGCATTTTTAAAAAATTGTCATGAAACTTAAAAAAAAAAAAAAAATTAAAATAAAACATTTTGGCAAAAAGATGTCACTTACCCAGTAAGTTCGAGCTGACCAAAGGGAGGGATCTATATAAGGTTTATTCACTAAAATGGGAATTATGGCGAATTTAGAACTTTAAGCTACTTTTAATGCTGGGTCTAGAAATATTGTTTTCCAGTTTGGCCCTTGTTCATTCTCCACAATTCCGGATTTACTGAAAAATTGGGAAAAAAATAATCTATGCTGCTTAGACAATGACTCCAACCTCCTTACATTTAATAGTCTCTACACAGCATTTATGTTTACTGCTACAATAGGCAAAATATGTCAAAGCCTTCAAATGCTGTTGAGAATATAAGAAACTGCGGGCTGGTGTGGCCCCAGTAGGTTAGTGCACCATTGTCCACTATTTTTGTTATATATATATTTTTTTTTTTTTTTTTTTTTCTCTCTCAAATCTGAAGCACTTAAAATTGTCAATTATTCTAGTTTCTGTCTGTTTGGAATTGTTTTGCCAGTAGTAAACTTATGTTTTCATATGCGGCTGCAAGTCCTGTTTGGAATCCGCTGATTAACGGGATTTTGTTTTGTGTGGTTGAATTTTTGTAAAAATATATAATTTTTTTTTTTTATTCCCCTGCACAAAACAAAAACTGAAGGAAAAAAAAATACAATGTTGCAAAATGCAGATTTTTTTTTTTTTTTTTTAAATACTCAAATTATTATATAAATTACACCTGCTGCTCCCCATTCCCCCCCATCATACACAGTAACAAGTTTATTTACTAAAGTGAAACTCCAGAGTGAATTTAAGGCCAGAGTAGCCAAACTAAAACTAGCTTAGAGAATTTTTATAGTTTGACTATTTTGATCTTAAATGTGAAATTCTCTTAGAATTTTCACTTCATTGAATAACCGTGTGTGTGTGTGTGTTGCTAAATATGTTTGTGAGCCCCCTGCATACACCTGTATTGTGAGGGGAGACCGTATCCCCTCATTACCCCTCCACAAACACGGTTTAGAGATGTGTAAAGTGGCCTGACGTCTGATCAATTGCTCAGTCTTTCTTGTTTCATCATTTCCTTGCTGGTTAATTCAAATGTGATACATTCTGAGGGCCATTACTTGGACATGACATTTTTCTCAATCTGAATTTGATTCTCGTAGTCCTTTTATTCAATTTGTTTTTCCTAAAATGTCATTGAGGTGACCGAAAAAAAACAAAAAAAAAAAACAGAAAATTTCTTTAAAAAGTATATATTTTGAAACTATATATATATATATTTTTTTTTTTTTTTTTCAATTTTGTTTTTTTAAAATTTGTCACAGTGCTAACTGGCTGTGCAATGGACTGCTGCAATAACAAGTAATGTGCATAAAGTATGTAATATCTGTAGTATGATGGTATCGGCACCCTCCCTTGAATTCAGACCGCACTAAACAGAAATGTAGGAAGTATAAACTCTGCATATTGCTCTATTTTCAGCATTTCTTTTGAACAGTGTCAAGAATCCTCAGACGTAAGCCCTTCCTCAGCACTCCTCCCCTTAATGTCAAACTTTGTGGAGTCTGGGTTAAAAAATTGTTTTTGTTTTTTTTTTAATTTTAGCTCTTGTGTTTATTGAGGAGAAAAAAAAGCTATTTTATATTTTGTTAAGAAAGTGACCTAAAAAAAATCCTGCAAGGCATAAGCCTTTGTAAAGAAACAAAATAAAAATGTTTGTACTTTGTTTTTCTAGAAATCTTGTGTCTGTTGTTTTATTGGGATACATGGGGACATGGGTGTGTTTGTTTTAACCCTGTAGGTGTAATTTTTGTAAGATTTCGTTTTTAAAATCCTTATATTTTGCTGTTTGTGCAAGTATAAAAAAAAAAAAAGCAAAATAGATGCTACAATATCAGTGAAAAGACCTGAAATATACAACATTGTTTTAATTTCTATAACTTCATGAAGTGTGTGTGTGTTGTCATGTCTTTCTTTTTCTCTCCTCTCTTTCCCCCAAAATTCAACTGAAAATGTGACTTATGACTTCTCCAGACTCAAAATTAGTCCAGGTATTTCAAGTGTTCCAGCTCAAGCACACATGGTGCAACTAATGAAGCCCTTGATTATGTCTGCTTGAGACCCCACCGGGCCGATTTTACGCTTGTGTACAACCTTTATAGCCGTGATGGATTGCACCTAAATGGAAGAGGATCTGCAGTGCTGGGGGACAAGATGGCTAGAAGGTTGGAGGAGCTTTTAAAGCGTTGAGGAGAGGGATGCATTAGGTCTCCCCCTCTGGCTGATGTCGAGGGCAGAGCCTGTCCCAAAGCTGAGGGACATTGGCACTGGATTCAGGTAAGTGACTGAAGGGGTTTAACCCCTTTAGCGTTGTGAGGGAGGGGGCACTGCAGGATTCTACAGTGCTGTTTTTCTGGCTCTATAGAATCCCTTTAAAGCCAAATCTAAAGCAATAGGATGGGATGAGAAAAATGTGTAAGCTTAAGGGTAAATATCTGCTTGGGGGAAAAGAAGGGAAATCCGTTATTGGTTGGGATATGTTATAAACCACCTAATGTTAATATTGATGAGGAACAACAGCTGTTTGAGCAAATTGGGAAAGCTGCAAATCTGGGTAACACGTAAATTATTGGAGATTTTAATTACCCGGACATAAATTTGGATAGAGGGACAAGTAGTTTAACAAAGGGAATTAGTTTTTTGAACTTGTTAAATTCATATTACAACTGGTACAAGCACCATGGACGTATTAGCCGCGAGGCAAACAAGGCATTTGCCTTGGGCAGCATTTTCCAGGGGGCGGCAAAAAAAGCCGCCCCCCAAATGCCCAAGGCAAATGCCTAGTTAGCCTCGCGGCTAATACGTCCATGGTGCTTGTACCAGTTGTAATATGAATTTAACAAGTGCAGCACAAAACCAGGATACACCACTGACCAGCACCAACTAGAAAGGGACGCTTGTCTGGATTGGTTTGTAAGAAACAATGCTGATCTTTTGACCAACATTCAAGTAGGGGGAGTATTTGGGAAATAGTGATCACAATATAGTGTCCTTTTGAAATAAACAAACAAAAGCACATGGAGTATACTAGAATATATAATTTTAAAAAGGCCAATTTCAATAAGTTAAGGGCAGCTTTAAAACATAATGACTCGTGTCAGGATACTAGTTGATCCAGCACGCAGAACTGTATCACACCTAGTACCAAAGGTAACGTCTTACCAGGCCTTAGAATGGCCGGACTTAACGTACCAGAGAATAGTCAGGATACTTGCCGAGGTCGGGGACACAGAATGAGACACAACAATGATGGAAAGTCAAAAGTCAAGGATACCAGAAAACCGGGAAGTCAAACGAAGCCAAAGTCAATAACCAGAAATAAACTCTCCAGAACACACTCTCGAAGTAGAGATCAGGGTGTTGCAGTGGATGTGATCCACACAATAGGTGAGTGTTTAAACTCATAGAAATTGGTCTGGATGAAAATGATTGATCTTGGGTAGAACATTGGCTTAAAGATAGTACTTAAATGGCAGATGAAATTTAATGTTGAAAATGCAAAGTTATGCACTTCGGGATAAACCATGCAGAAGATAATTATACCCTAAATGGCAGGGAATTCGGGATAACAACACACGAGAAGGATTTGGGAATTGTTATAGACCACAAACAAGGCAACAGTGTGCTATGTCAATCAGCAGTGGCTACGGCCAGTAATGTATTGTCATGTATAAAAAAGGTAATTAATTTTGCCTCTTTATGAATCACTGGTAAGACCACATCTTGAATATGCTGTGCAATTTTGGGCACCTGTTCTAAAGAAGGATATTATGGCACTAGAAAAAGTGCAGAGGCGGGCTACAAAATTAATAAAAGGAATGGAACATTTTAGCTATGAAGAAAGGTTAGCAAATTTAAACCTCTTTAGTTTAGAAAAACAGCACCTCAGATGGGATATGATAACATTATACAAATATATCCCGGGCCAACACAAACCATTGTGTGGAAATCTATTCACAAACCGGACTTTACATAGGACACAAGGTCACGCGTTTAGATTGGAAGAAAGAAGATTTTGTCTAAGGCAAAGGGAAGGTGGTTTTTTTTTTTTTTTATTTTTTTTTACAGTAAGAACAATAAGGATATGGAATTCTCTCCCTGAAGAAGTGGTTTTGTCAGAGTTTGTACGGATGATTAAACCGCAACTAGATGCATACTTCATCAGCTGTTCCATGGCCATTTGAAACAGTCTGATTTTTAAACATACCCTGTCCAGCATAGAACTCAGAGCTCCATCAGCTGTTCCATGGCCATTTGAAACAGGTAGTCTTCTGGAAGACTGACATTTCATTATATTTCTACGTACCCTGTTAATTTTGTTGTATGTGTATGTTTTTATATTTAGTAAATATTATTTAGTTTTATTCTTTTCAATGTATACATTTTCATGTCTTTGAAACTATAGCCTGTGCTAATCATGCAAAGTATTTTATCACCTTTGTCTCTGTCCATCATGTTAAAAGATAGTTTAACCAGCTCAGGCCCATATATCTTTCCTGTTCCTTGTTTAATGGTGTTATTTCCCTACTTAAATACCTCTGTCATATCTCTGTAATTCTCAATCTTTGCTTTTGTTTTTCCTTAAATCAAATGTCCATCTATGCACCCCCCCATCTCTTAGCCCATCTGACCCTAATATACATCTCTCTCCCACAGTCTGATTTTTAAACATACCCAGTCCAGCATAGAACTCAGAGCTCCATCAGCTGTTCCATGGCCATTTGAAACAGGTAGCCTTCTGGAAGACTGACTTATCCATAAAAGTGGTGACACTACTTTGGTTTCTAACTATTGCCCAATATCATTGCTCCAGGTATTGTCAAAAATCTTAGAAAAATGTGTCCATACGCAACTTTGTGAGTACTACCAACAATTTAACTATCTGACCCCTGATCAATCGGGCTTTCGCCAGAATCACTCCACTACAACTGCCCTCCTAAAAGTTTGCAATGACATCCAAACTGGCATGGAACAAGGAGTCCTAACTGGAGCTATTTTCCTTGATTTTGCTAAGGCCTTTGACACAGTAGACCATGACATTCTACTGCACAAACTCGAAAACTCAGGTATTGGTGATCATTCTCTAAACAAGTTTCGATCGTATGTATCGGATCGCTCGCAATATGTGCCCATTTCTGACAGTGACTCCCTCCCTCTCCCAGTCACGTGTGGTGTTCCCCAGGGTTCCATTCTCGGCCCCCTACTATTTACATTATTTATAAATGATCTGCCTAACGTCTGCCAATCATCAAATGTACGCAGATGACACGGTAATCTATGCGAGCAAATCCGATCTACCGCAACTTGAGGCTTTGCTCCAAGACCAGTTTACAGAGGTAGAAAAGTGGATTGCAAAAAACAAACTCTTCCTGAACACTGACAAAACTGTCACAATGATCTTTGGAACAGTACCGAAATTACACAAATTACACAATTCCCACCTATCAATCAAAACAAATTCAAATGGCACACTGACCGCAGTCCACTCTTTCAAATACTTGGGTATGATGTTAGATCCCAATCTATCTTTTGGCCTGCACATAGAAAAGCTTGCAGCTAAACTTTATCCAAAACTGGTGCCCTGTACAGAAACAAATCCTGCCTAAGCCCTACAGTAAAGGAAAAGATTGTACAGCAAATGCTGATGCCAATCATTGATTATGGGGATGTAGTCTATGCATCTGCATCGCAATCCCACATTAATAAACTCAATACATTGTATAACTCGTTCTGCCGATTTGTGCTACAATGTAATTACAGGACCCATCATTGTGACATGCTAAATGAACTAAACTGGCTGTTGCTGGAATCCAGACGCACCCTTCATCTTTCCAGCCTTGTTTTTAAGAGCTTTTCTGGGAAACTCCCACCCTACCTGAACAAAATGCTTTCCCCAGCTGTTCCCACTTTCTATAAGCTCCGATCCAGTTCATGCACTTTACTTAGTCTACCTCAATACAAAAAGAAAGCAGCCCGATCCTCCTCCTCCTTCAGAGCACCGCAATTATGGAACAACCTCCCGCAGAATTTAAAATCTTCCCTAAACCTAAAGTCATTTAAGAGGTCCCTCTCTACATACCTCAAAATAGAATGCACCTGTCATGGTTGATTATATATTTCCTGCCTGTTCTATGTTAAATTTTGTATATATTGTGTATTGATATTGTTTTTGTATTTTGTTGTACCTAATGTAACAATGCAATGATTTGTGGACCCAGGACATACTTGAAAACGAGAGAAATCTCAATGTATCTTTCCTGGTAAAATATTTTATAAATAAATAAATAAACCCATAATATTCAATGATATAACTTTTAAACTGTAGGGTAATAACTTCTTGATCCAAGGATAAATCTGAATGCCATTCTGAGATCAAGAAGGACTTTTTTTCTTGTTTGTTATAAAATTGGACGTGCTTCAAACTGATAATATTTTTTTTTTGCCTTCTTTTGGATCAACAACAAAAACAGATATGAGGAATGCGGAACGTGATGGACACATGTCTCTTTTCAGCCTATGTAACACCTGTTTTGCATATTTGTGCTGTTGTGGGAGATTCTATTCAGGGGGTTGAATAATTTTCTAGACTAGAGAAGTCATTATAAGCTCCATTTTTGTTTTTCAACTGAATTTGGGAAAACCACTTGAAGCATTTGTTGTGTTGAGCTATTTCAATTGAGTTTGTTAAATTTGTTCATTGCAAACAGCTGACAGTCTGTAAATTTTGACAATAAACCTTTTTCAGTGGGGGTTGAATAATTTTGATTACAACTGTATATCCTTCTACTTTACTGCCATAGTTTGTCACTGTTGGAAAAGGCCACAGCTGGTCCAGTATCTGCATTGGAATAGAACTCCCATCATCTCAGCCAGTTTATTCTCCTGTTATTAAATGTCTCTGAAAGAATAGCCAAAGTCTTTCACTGCAGCTGCATTGGCCTATCACTCTCAGAATCTCAGCCGGCATTATCCCCCTGTTTCCCTCCTCCAATCTTCTATAGTTTCTCCCTATGGCCAGTCAGTGTGGTGTTTGCATGTACTACTTTTTTTGTGGCGTACAGATACAGCACACTGCTTGCTTGGCTTGGTAAGAGTTTTAATCTAAAGAAACTGCATCCCTTATTTATCACTTATTTAATATCACGAAAATATTTCTACTTGTACAGAGTATTACAGGTTTTATAGATCCCATTTTAATTTGTCCCTCCATTCCTCACCTCTAAAATGCCAATGCTGACCCCTTCATGGCCAGCAGGGAGCAGTATTTACAATTATTTGAGCTGAATATGGCATTGCAAACACTTTAACCTAAACCATTTTACATTCAGTAAATCAATGGTTCTTAACCCCTTTTTCTGCCAGGGATCCAAGTAATGCAAATTACATGAGCATAGACACCAATTTTTTGAACTGAAAAATTAGCTCAGTGACCTGTTCTTTAAGTATGATGTATTTAATTTTTATAATTCTTTATTTTTGGTATGCGGTAAAGTACAACAGTGCCTGTTTCGCCACAACAGCTGTAGCAGGCTCAATGAACATAGTTATAACAGGTGTGTGGCTAGTTAGGTTTGCATACATTTTTTTAAGGTAAAAGAAGAAAACAGTTAGGTATATGTCAAGCTGGTTCACCATGGCTAGCTATGCAATTACCGGAAGACAAAGCAAGAGCATGCAACGTGTTGGGGCAATAAAAGGAGCAGTATTGCTGACAATTTTAAAAGCCAGACATGGTGGATGCTAGTGAAGCTTAAACAAGGCATGGTATAGATGAGACATAAAAGCTTGTTACCACTGGGGTCTATTTCACACTGCAGCTCTCAAAACGGTAGTGGAGAGACAATTTATATACTCATATATGAAGAACATTAAGATTTCTACTAGCAAGACATGTTGATCCCGGCAGTTAAAGTACAAATAACGATTATTAAGGTACATGCTATATAAAATAATGTCAAGTGTGGATTTCTCCACACTGCTTGAGAGTGACCACCAGGGGGCAGAGAGTCCCTGCGCTTGTCGGACTAAGCGCATATGTGTGCTTAGGCATTTTTCTATGCAGTTCTGCAGTATTAAAATCATTAATAGTAAAAGCAAAAAAGAGAAACAAGGAGATGGTAAACAAAATAATATGCAGTGCTATAATTGAGTATAGATTGTTAGCAGTCGCTTTGTTACTCTTGCAGCAGTGCTGAGTCGGCTGGCGTCCTGGCCATGATCAAGTCCCCTGTGGTTCCCGCCATTTGCTCGAGGGCTTAGGTACTTGGTGGTCAGGGGCGTGCTTGTGATTCCGCTGGTATCAGCCTGGCATGTAAGATGGAGCCTGCTGTGTCCGTTGTTCCTCTTTGTGTGGGTGGAGTGAGAGTCCAAATTGGGTGCCCTCGGGACCGCCGGTAGCAGTGAGAGGTGTTGTCTCCAATGCTGTAGATGGGAGCTTGTGGTCCGGTTTGTAATGGTCGCGGCGGCCATTTTGGATTTTGCCGTGAGGTCTCCATTTGGTCCGTTCACCGCTCGGTTTGAGGAGGTGGTCTCTGCCCCTCCGGTGAGGTCCGGGATAACCCCCCCGGCCCACAGGGGGGGAGAACGGGGCCCTTAGTAGGTGTGAGAGAGGTCCCGCCGGACTAAGCACGGGAGATCGGCCGCTTCTCCCGCCAGAGCCTCACGGCAGGCCACAGTCCCAACTGCACTGCATACATCGCTGCCGGTAGGACGGGGGCTAACCCGGATAATGTGAGTGGTTGCTTAGCTTTCTTGTAACTGCCGGATGGTAGTTTTTCAGGGGAGAAAAGTTCATTTCAGGCTGGTTATAGGAGATTTATTCAGGAGCCGAGGTGCCCCACGTCCATCCAGCTCGGCGGTCAGGCCCCGCCCCCCAAGTATGATGTATTTAATTTTACAATAACTTTTATACATTTATAATTATGCCCTCCTTCATATCTATATCAAAGAATCTTCACTTCACTGGAGATAGCAATGTATTGTGGGCAATTGCTTGGGATCTGATTAATATGAGCTTCCTATTCTAGCCACTATGGATTAACTGAAATAATACTGGGACCCAAATTTGGCTGCTGACCCAGAGGTTAACAACCATTGTGTTTAATTAACCGTCTTAATTGCAGCTCGTTGGGTTGTATCAGTGAGGGAGAAGGTTCCAAACGCCAAACCTTTCACAGAAATTGTTACAGAGCCATTTCCATTAAAGAGTTACACTTTAGTGATTTGAAGTGGTCATGGTGTCTGTATGCGCAGCATTTTGAATTGAAACGCACATAGTGTTTAACCCTTCTGTGACCAGAGGTGTAACTCTATCTCCTTCTGTGTCATTAGCCTGCATGGAACAAGGTTTCCAGACTGGGTAATGTCAATTCTGTGCAAATTTGGTGTCTGACACCTCCGTCCAACTCATGTTTTCCCATCAGTCCTCCAGTGAGAGATGAGTGATATCTGCGGAAGAGGATCATTCTGCAGGGAGAGCTAGGCATGGGTTCTGAAACAAATGTATGTTTTAATTCGTTTTTCTTTATTTGGGGGTGCAGGGTGGTAGTATAGGAATGTACAAAGATAGATCGGGGCTGCGCCACAGGGAGTAACGGAATATCGTCAATAACAGAAAGTCCAGTGGTATAAAAGAAAACCTTTAGGTTCACACCAGATGATATATTCAACGAGAAATGTGGGTTCTTAAAGCTTGGGAATGGTATCCATAATCAGTCTCTCCGATATTCATTTATATGAAACGGAGAGGGGGAGAGAAAAAGGACCTAATAGTGCAATATGTATCATATAAAGTGGTTATGGTGAGGTAATCATAATGCACTCACATTTGGCAGAGCTATAGCCAGCTCTAGCATCTAGCGATTGTAGTGGTACAATCCCCACTTCGGGATATATTGTAGGTATCTTCAGTCTTTTGGATTAACTGGAGCTCAAGCGACAACAAAAGTAGGGGGGCAACAATAGTGCTCTTAATAAGGTAAAAACCAAGTGTAAAATGATATATATAAAATATACTCACATAACGTAGAGCAGGCTGACTGCTCGATGGTATCAGCTCTGGTGGTATGAACCCCACCTCAGATTTTATTTTGTAGTCAAGAAATTTTAAGAACATGTACTGATTCTCCTTTGTTCTGCAATAATAGTAGTGTAGGAAGTATATTCCAAAACAACTGATTTCATAAACCCATTAGACCTTTCCTCATTTTAGTGTTGTCCGTGCTCTTTTCTCTGGTACATCACTTATACTCTCCCCAGTGCACCTCAGTCCCCCCAATCCATTTAAGGGTGTTATCCTCCCATCTACGTCGTCTTTATCTTCCTACCAGGTTTAATTACATTTTCGACATCTATATATGACATAGTTACAGGGCTCCCAATTGTCTTACTTTCTGGCTCATATCCCACCGTCCTGGTTTAGTTCCCTGGTGTCCCACATCATTTATTTTGCAACTAAATTTTTTGGGTTTAAATTTTGCCGTTTTAATCTTTCTAGTACTTAGTGAGTAAACCCCAAATTCATTGAAAACCAGAAACTTTGTCGGTTTTATTTTTTGGGGGTGGTGTTTTTTTTTGTTTTTTTTGTTGTGTGTGTGTGTGCAGTGTCTGAAAAGAATATAAAATTTAACGACTGTTTGCAAAATGACTACAGATATATTATGTCAGTGATAGTCATTAGCATGCGAGTTTCTTCTAGAAATGTAGTTTCCCTGGTTTGGCATTTCAGGAGTTAATTGTGAAAGGCTGGTTTGTGATGGAATTGACTACAGTAGCAGCCATAGGAATTAATCCCAAAATGCCCTCTGGGGGTAACAGCATTCCTTATAGCAAGAAAGAGAGAGGGGACAGCTGGGGTGGGAGTCAGGGCGAGAGGATAAATACAGTAACATTGTGTCAGCACTGGTAAGACAAGCAAACATGGCTGCTCTCAGGAAGGCTATTTATGGCCGAATCGCTGGTATAGGCGGAAGAAGATTAGGCCAAATTGTACTGTATGGGCACAGGGAATCTCAAACATTTGCAGCCACAGCTGAGCGACGGTGTACCAGGATCTGGATAGTGAGCACATTGCTGTACTGAATGTGTACATTAAGGTGTGCGGACAGAGTGCATATAATTTGGGGGCACGCATGGGTTTTTTTTATTTTCAATATAATATTTAGTGCAAGCTCAACCTTCAAAATGGTCATTTCTATTCACTAAGTTATCAACAAACTAAAATGGAGAGAGACTAACAGCAACAACATATGTGAGGAAGGCTGAACCTGATGGACACAAGTCTCTTTTCAGCTATGTAACTAGTTTTAACTTGCCACCATCACACTTATACCTTTTTTTTGTGTGTGTGATTATTTACAAATGCAATTGATAATCTTATTGAACTCTTTAGAACTTAAGTGCAAATAGGAACTAGCACGGGCGACACTGTTATCAATTGAGCTATACATTAGGGTGGTCCTCGGTGCAACTGTCACAACCGCTGTAATTTCTGTAAGGCAAGACTGCACTGTGCACTGACAGGCGACTCTGTTTAAACTAAGGGTTTACTGTGCATCGATACACCCGTCTGCGTAAACTAAGGGTTTACTGTTCATCGACACGGATGTGTGCGTAAACTAAGTTTTTCAACTAAAGTGTCAGCGCTTAGTAGATGTTACATAGTTACATAGCTGAAAAGAGACTTGCGTCCATCAAGTTCAGCCTTCCTCGCATATGTTTTTGCTGTTGATCCAAAAGAAGGCAAAAAACCCAGACTGAAGCGCTTCCAATTTTGCAACAAACTAGGAAAATAAATTCCTTCTTGACCCCAAAATAGCAGTCAGATATCTCCTTGGATCAATCAGATATTACCCCACTAATATAAACCCCTAGGAAAATATTTTCTAGGGTACCACAAACTTAAAAAAATGAAAGTTCCAATGTAGGATATAGATTGAGGGGGATCAGCATAGATGGTTAACTGACCACGCTGTGTAAGAAATCCAATTTCACATAAACTGCATCCATTTCTGTATCACTTTAAGGTTACTTTGTATCCACCTAAATAAAATCACAAAAAATAGCAACATAGTGTAACACAGTAAATGTATTGAAACCATCCCAAATTCCCCTTGTTGGAACGCTTACAAGATGTGGTGCTCGTTTCCAAGTTCCCACTAATAAAACACGGGGTGCACTTTAGCCAGCAAAACAGTCAGGGGGTTACTGGTCTGTCAGCAAAGAGATACTGTCTGCTCTGTGCACTCGAGCCGAATTGCAGCACTCCTGGCCTGAAAAAACGCCAGCTCCCTTTGCCGCTGGAAGGCAATACCTTGTGTGTTGGTTCAAAGTCTGAGATATCTTATCGGGCACCATCAATGTGTTTTTCCCCTCTATAGTGGGAGATAGGATTTTGACAGGATATTTTTGAATCAAATATAATTTGTTTGTTTTTTTACTACATCTGCTGCCTGCGTTCAGGTGTACCTGATGCACCAACTGGTAGGCAAGTCCATAACAGCACTTTCCTGGGTAAGAAATATCTGTTTCACTTTGGGTTATTTTTGTTGGTTTATAGTTTATGTGCCAAATTGTACCCTGTGTTGCAGGCACGTCTTACTGTAACCAAAAAACAGTGTTTTAAGAAAAAACTGGATATGGTTAGAGCAGGGGTAGGTAACCAGACATAATGCTGGTAAAGCTTCATGGGAAATGTAGTCCAAAACATCTGGAGTGCTGAAGGTTGCCTGGAGTAACCTTTTCTATAAAGGGTAAAGACAAGCTGAGGAGAATACAAAGTAACACGGAGTGGGGACCTGACGCCACTGTGAGACATCCAGGATGCACAGAACTGGCATTAGTCAGCCTTTAATGCTAATGACACCCCAATGACGCTGCCAGACGTTGTTACACATTCACAAATCCAGGGGTTAAACTAAGTGTATGCAAACTCCAGGTACCATGACCACTTCAAATAACTGGAGTGTTCATAGAACTTGGAGTAATCCTTTAAGGTGTGGTGATAAAATGGTGTACAACTCATTTTTGTGACCATTGAAGATGAAGATGCCGTGGATTGTAACTCCCATCACACTGATGTAGTTACCCCCTAAAACCAAGAACCCCTATAACGTTAAGCCTACATGCACCCTAACCCTATGGATACCTCTCTGTATTATCAAAGCAGCTGCAGAGGGGATGACCCAGGGTACTAGGGAGAGTTCCACTTTATGTCAGTTCACTTGAAAATGGTTTGCTGGACCCCCTAGTACCATAACTGCTACCATGATCTGCAGTGCTTATGGTGCATAGTGTCCTATCAATCGTATATAGTCTGTACAGCTAAGGTAATCAGTTAGTAGCTATCCAGCTGTATGTGAAATCCCATGATGCTCAGCAATCATCCTAAAATGGAGCTTCACGTTTTTCACATTTTTGTAAATATTTTATTATATCTTTTCTCTATTTTATTTTATCTATTATATCTTTTCATGTGACTACATTGTAGCAGAGTGTCATTTCTTCAGTGTTAAGTAGTAAGTGTACAGTCTGTATAACTTTACATTTGCTGTCCCCTCAACATAACAACACACAGCCATTAATGTCTAAACCGTTGGCAACAAAAGTGAGTACACCCCTAAGTGGAAATGTTATGGGCAAATGTCCAAATTGGGCCCAAACTGTCAATATTTAGTGTGGCCACCATTATTTTCCAGCACTGCTTTAACCCTCATGGGCATGAAGTTCACCAGAGCTTCATAGGTTGCCACTGGAGTCTTCTTTCACTCCTCCATGACAACATCACGGAGCTTGTGGATGTTAGAGACCTTGCGCTCCCCCACCTTCTGTTTGAGGATGCCCCACAGATGCTCAATAGGGTTTATGTTTGGAGACATGCTTGGCCAATCCATCACCTTGGCATTCATGGTTCCCTCAATGAACTGTAGCTCCCCAGTGCCGCCAGCACTCATGCAGGCCCAAACCACGATTCTCCCACCACCATGCTTGACTGTATGCAAGACACCCTTGTCTTTGTACTCCTCACCTGGTTGCCGTCACACACGCTCAACACCATCTGAACCAAATAAGTTTATCTTGGTCTCATCGGACCACAGGACATGGTTCCAGTAATCCATGTCCTTAGTCTGCTTGTCTTCAGCAAACTGTTTGTGGGCTTTCTTGTGCATCATCTTTAGAAGAGGCTTCCTTCTGGGATGACAGCCATGCAGAACCATTTGATGCAATGTGCGGCGTATGGTCTGAGCACTGACAGGCCGTCCCCCCACCCCTTCAACCTCTGCAGCAATGCTGGCAGCACTCATACGTCTATTTCCCAAAGACAACCTCTGGATATGACGGTGAACACGTGCACTCAACTCCTTTGGTCGTCCATGGTGAGGCCTGTTCTGAGCGGAACCTGTCCTGTGAAACCGCTGTATGGTCTTGCCCACCATGCTGTAGCTCAGTTTTAGGGTCTTGGCAATATTCTTATAGCCTAGGCCATCTTCCAGTGACCAGTAAAAGAGTGTGAGAGAGCGATAACACCAAATTTAACACACTTGCTCCCCATTCACACCCAAGACCTTGTAACACTAACGAGTCACATGACACCGTTATACATAACGGTAACACCGTTATTTATAAGATATGCAGGCTGTACACTTACTACTTTACATTGTAGCAGAGTGTCATATCTTCAGTGTTGTCACATGAAAATATATAATAAAATATTTCCAAAATGTGAGGGTGTACTCACTTTTGTGAGATACTGCTTATTTATTTATTTATATATATATATAGTGTCAGTCACTGCTGTGTATGTGGAATGCAGACTGAAGGATCTGAAAACTGAACTGCAAATTCTCCAACTTAGATATTTTAGCCGAAATGTTGCCATTCATTTTTCAGGTTTACACACACAGAAGAAAGCCCTGTGTATAGGGAGTTCCGGGTTTCCCAGATTTCCAGGGTCAATCATATAAATAAGACAGTAATGTTAATATGAATATTTGAGGCAGTCTCGGGGCTGCATTTCTGTTGAGTGTCAGGAAAGGTCAGCTGTGTCTGTGTCAATGGGTTTTGTGACCACCTGTGTGACAGCGTGTGACGTGTGTGACAGTGTGTGTCGCTTGCTCCTTTCTCAGTCAGCTGCTGTATATATAGAGCAGTCCAGCGTTCCAAATTTCCTGGCTGACACCATGAGAGGACCAGGGTTACTTAGCTGCTTCTTTGCAGCCCTTTTCCTGACTGTGCATGCAGGTAGGGACTCTTAACCTGCACCCCATAACCTCTGCTTCTCACTTAACAGGCTTGGCCAAGATCCACTCTCATAGTTGGCTTTATTGTTACTTTGGTTAAAGGTTCTCAGTGGATTTTGTCTTCTAAACTAGGACTTTCAAATTATTTCATAGTGGGGGATTTGCAACTTTTTTTATTTAATATTTTTTTCTGAAGAAGTCAGTGACACTGTATGTTACGTTACAACCCAGGCAAGATGATGGGGTGGAAAAGGTGTTGTTTGATGTTCTTTGGGTCATCAAAAAGTTCAGAAATATATAAAAAAAAAATTGAGAGTAAATATTGATTTATCACTTTAGTTGATGCAGTTAACAACCAGAAAAAGGACCAATTATTCACCCTTTAATTAAGAAATATTATTATTTAATTTATTGGTCCTAAAGATGTCAGGACATTTTCTTGTGTGTGTGTGTGTGTGTGTGTGTGTATATATATCATTGAGTGGATTCAATTGACTTTATTGCAACTAGCCAATAATTAGTACCTATCACTAGAAACTCATAATTGCTGAACATTTCACTTCTTTTTTTTTTTTTTTTTTTTATATCTTGATCCGTATTACATTTACAATGTAAAATTTTAATTGTTTTCTTGTACAGTTTTTTTTTTTACACTGTTGTGCCTGTGTTTATTTATAAGATAACTTTATATAAAAGTCTTGCTTTGCCATCCAATAACTTTAAATGTATGGGAGTACTGTGTCTGAAGTTAATTATCCTATGCACATAAAAGTATTGGAGCAAAGCAATGGTGTTAAATGGCAGACTGCGTTCTCTCATCCAATGGAATATCAATATCAAAGAGGTCACTTTAGACCTCCTTTTGATGAGGCAAGGAATCTGTGACCTATACCGTGTCACAGCAAAAACAGTTCCTCTCAGATGTTCGTCTTGGAAGACCGTCAGATTTCACATTCAGAGTTTTTCTCTTAAATGTGGATTTTGAGAAATTCAAGTGAATCGACTAAAGTATTCAAACGGAAAAGTTCTCAATGACCGCTATATTCTCAGTTAGACTATTTTGGTCTTAAATTTAAAGTTCACTCTGAGTTCCATTTGAATTACTGGCATTTCACAGTTTGGTGATTAACCCTTATAGTACAGCCAGTGTAGCTCCTTACTAAAATAATTAGGGTGTTTGAGAGTCAAGCTGATCTTTTATTTAGAGCCATTGATGATGTATATTGACATACATCTATATAAACTCTTCAGATTATTCAATAAGCCGTGAATCCCGGGGAAGTGACATTAAACTTGCACACGTTATGCCAAAATAGTTGGAATGATTTTCAAATTCAGCTAATTTGACCTAAAATGTCTAATTCTCCTGTCAATTCTTCACGGTCCTAAGATTAATGAACAAAATTCATTGGATAAAGTAAGTAGTCACAGGACCTGATAAGCTCTGTATAACAGATAATAATTTCAAAGTGTAGTCGCTGTTCCTATCTGCCCATTTGATTGGGATAAAAACAATGAACTAAATCACTTACACATACAAAGATGCAGATAAATAAAAGCAGATTAATGGAGCACTATAAAGCTTGGGGAATGATTGTTCATAAACGTTCTGTAAGAAGCAAATGTATTTATATATTTTTGCTTTTCATTCATTAGATTGTATTTACCTAATTATTATTATTTTATTTATTTATATAGCGCCAGCAGATTCCGTAGCGCTGTATAATATATTGATTGTCGTCAAATCTCGTGTCATTTACTCTTTTTCCAATAGAATTGTGTACAAATCCCTTCAGATGTGCCGAACAAATCAAATGCCTTTCAATCTCTAGACTGACAAATCGATTTGTTATTCAAATCAGGACAAATGAATTAGTTTGTCCATAGATGGTATCTGATTTTATCGGCGCACTTGAAATGGATTTGTGCACAAGTCTATTATCCAAAACATGTCCTAATGTGCTTTTTGTATTGTGAAAATATTACACTAAACAGAGATTAAAAAAATCCTCACTTTCTATGCAGAATTGTTGTGGCTCATACAAGTTTTCTGGTAACATGACTTTGCAAACACGATTCATTTACATTTTATTTTAGTAGCTATCGTCTTTACTGAAAAATCAGCTGTTCATTTTGTTAAGTAGAATTATTTACTTCTGTTATAAATTTTTTTTAAATTTATTTATTGGTATATTTACAGTGATTTTAAATATAGTTGCCATTTAGCATTTTGGGGTCTGTGGTAAAACTCATTAAGAGTAACTGAGAAAAACACTTTAGTTTGGTCTTCCAAATGGACTATCCAGAGATAATGAATAATTCCAGTGCGTTTTCCTTTGTAGCATTTAGAAAGGCACAGATCAAGGATACAACAGCTGACGCTGACTGCACTGTGTAACATGAGGTGTCCCCAGAGTGCTGGGTGACAGATGGCTTTGGAAGGTGGAGGGAGCCACCAAAAAGGGGGGGGGGAGACGGGATGGACGCACTGGTGGCAAACCAAGAGACTCTTTTACAGACAGTACGACATTAAAGGGTTTAAGAACCAATGAAAACTATTAAATGGTTAGCAATTTTGGAAACACGATATTTCTCAAATATATACTTTCAGGCCCACCCCTTGCACACACAGATGGCATCTCACACAGCCAATTCCCTCTATGTTTTAAAAAATAATCTATATATATATTCAAGAAAATCACTTAATGGACCACTTAACTACACGGTTTTACAATACTATCCCTTCTTTTGAAAAATTGTAGCAAGATACGCCGCCTCCTTATAGTTAGCTAGCATTAATGCAGCGTAAGATCTCCATTGTGGTGGGTATCCCCCTTATTAACCTTTTCTTTCTCTTCCCCCTCTATCCTAGTTTATGAATTACTTATAAATTAAAAAACTAGTATTATTATTGGTGTTTATATAGCGCCACCTTATTCCACAGTGCTTTACAACATTGTGAAAGGAGGGAAATTTAACAATAAATGGGCCATTTTGTATGAGCAATCTGTACTGTCAATATGACGCGCAATATTGCGAGACATTACCTATGTTACATAGGGTAGTACATACAGTTCTTAGAATTGCTGCTTTTATTTTGTATCTCTATCCTGATACCGTTTGCACTAGATACAAGTACAGTTGAGCTCATCTGATTTCTAGTGCAAATCTGGAATTAGACAGAGTTTAATCTATAATAGGCACAGTCTCGCTGTCATTGAGTAGTGGCCAGTTGTTCTGACTTTCACCCAGTGTCTCTGGTCTGGTAATTGGTGGAGGGGGCTGTAGTAATTTGTGTTTAGACTTACATAACAGAATGAGGTCTCTTGGACAAGGGGCAGACTACTGCAATCTCAGAATTATGTTCTGATAAATCGACCTCGTTGATGGAGGGAATTCTCTCTTTTATGATTTATGGTCAGGCTTGAACAGGTCTTCATATTGACTTTAACGAAAACATATAAATGTGTTGGGGCAATAGATGTTGCATTCTCTGTTTTAGGGTGTGTTCCTTAGTTTTGAGGCAAGTTCCTCTGGTTTTAAAAACAGAGAGGCGTGTTATTGGCCAGTACAGAGTTTGGTCGGCTATATGCTTGGTATGGGGTGAGGCTTGAAGAAACTGTATCAGTTTCAAGCTTCAAATTCACCTTACTGATTTTATTTTTCCGCTTGGCCTGGACCCATCTTTCAGAGATAGAATTAATCACATTAAATTGTGGTCAGAGTCTCAGATTTAGGACGCCTGATTAAGTTTTGTGGTGTATTATTGAGTTAAGCTGCAGTTTTACATTACCGGGCACTTTTGGTTTCTAAATCCCTCATCGACTCCAAGAACCTGACCTGGGTGGCAAGTCTCCTATTTTTATTTCCAGAGCTGCGGGCGATGATCCCTCATCCATCACTCTAACTGTGACCTGCAGCTCTGATGCAATCACAGACGGTGGGTGGCATTAGCAGTTCTAGGTGGTACTTTCTCTTTCAATAAAAATAATACCTACATAGCATGTGAGAGGAAACTTAGGAAATATCATAATACATTACTTTAATTAACCCAGTGCAGTCCAGGAATCATAACAGAACGTTGCTCTATGATAAGTTTTGTCGTAATGGATGTTACAAGGAGTATGTTACTCCGTTACGTACGTTCATTGTAACGTTCTGTTGGTTCCTCTTCAGGTACATTGATGAACGCTAAAGACAGCGTGGTCGCGGACCTGATGTGGCAAAGGGTTTAGATGTTGACATCTCAGCCCTTCGTCACTGACAAGGGCAACTTATTCTACTGCTGATAATCTACAGGTCGAGTCAAAAGTCAGGAACCAAAAATACCTGCACTGAGGGTGAGATTTATCAAGGCAAAACAGGTGCAATCACATTGGAAACCAATAGAATGTAGATTTAGCACTGTGCTCCACAATGGCACCATTTTTTAACATTTATTCTTTATATATCTCCTTTTTAATGTTGATTAATCTAATGACTACCATATCCGATAGATCAATGTTTGTACCCATGATGTATGTTAGGCTACCTCTCCACCATCTTAAAAACATAACTAGATATGCCACAAGCCCAGGCAGGAGGGGGGGGCTGGTGGGCCAAATGTGATAGATTTTCCTGGCCGAGCACTGCAGGGCCGGCACTGACTGGAGAGGTGCACTTGCTCTCCATCTCCTTTGCACTGAATCAGAGCGTTGCCGCTGGTAACCATGGCAACATTTCCCAGCTCCGGCTAGTAGAAGCTGTGAGTGCCAGGAGGGGGGCAGACATGCTGCATCTCCCACCGGAACCACCAAGGATCAGGATTTACCTAAATGAGCCCCTACTCCCTACTACAGACCCTACAGGGGCTATAGTGAGGTGAGATGGGCTGTATTGGGGGAGGAGGGGTAGAGGCTGCAGAGGGCTGGATCCACAGTCCCTGTCACCCAACTATATTCACCATCCACCCCACAATAGTCCCTATCCAACCACTACAGCTCCTATTCTCTCACTACATCCCCTGTCACCTCACTATACCCACAATATTCCATATCCTACCTCTACTGCCCCTGTCCCCCCACACCAGCCATTATCACCCCTCTATTGCCTGTATCACCACATGACAGCCTCTGTCACCCCATCATACACAATGCCCACCCCACAATAGTCCATATTCTCCCATTACAGCCCCTATTTCCTCACAATAGCTGCTATAACCCGTGTCACCCCACTATGGCTCCGTCACCTCACCATACTCACTATCCATCCCACAATAGTCAATATTCTCCTACTGCCTCCCCTATTTTGCTTACTACAGCATCTATTCCTCCACTATAGCCCAGTCACCCTACTATACCTATTATCTGCCCCACAATAGTCCCTGTGCTCTCACTACATTTCTTGTTTCCCCACTACACGTCCTATACCCCCCAATAGCCATTACCCCCCTAAAGTCCCTATTCACCACTACATCCACAACATAACAAGCAACCACCCACCAACACGCAACCCAGTAAGCAGCATTCTGACAAGCATCCTCCAGACACATACGCGCTCTCCCAGCCCTGTCCCACTTATCATCTAGCCACCCACCTAGTCACATTCACCGTTCTATCAAACCCCAAACCAGTCATATAAATGCATCCTATCTCATCCTCCCAACTTTGTGTATTGAATGCATTATCATGTAAGCATCCTATTTAGAGTCCTGTGGGAACAAATCAGAAAGGTCACTTCTATGGACGGGTGTGGGAGAAGAGCAATGTTTGTCTTTGAAGCTAAAGATCTCCTCCTTGTAAGATACAGAATTTATCAGAAAAGGAGAACAAGTAAATTGGGCCTTCCACCATTTAGGTCATGTTGGAAAACTCTGCAGAAATACATGTTTGAGGTTAATAAGGATTTGGGCTTTGAGAAACTTGTTCTAGTGAATCACAGTGTAAAAGAAAACTGTTTAAAAGCTTGACATTCCAATAGGGATGGTCACATGACGGATATCCTTTATATACAAATTCTTAGACTTGGTTAATCAGAATAACTTGGATTTGGAATGTGAGATCAGGAAGTGTCCATCTAACATTAATCATGATATGCTGATTAATTACGCAGGTTGAATGTCAATTTAGAGAAATATTTAAAGTCTTGACTTCTCCAACTGGGGTGTTAGAGCTTTCAAATGTGCTCCAGACCAGCAGGGCCAGGACAGTCCAACTATTGAGTAGACTGTTAAAAGACCTTCTGAAATATGCTGGAAATTAGTGAATGTGAGTCAGTCTGCTGGGTATGAGCCAATCTGCTTCCTGCGTAGTTTGGGTTCGAGGGTTTTTATACCCGGTGTACATCGATATTGCATTTAGTTAGTAACATGATCATGAACATGTTCTATGGGTCACACTGGTATGTTATTTATCTTCTGCAATCACAGTTTATGGTGGCTACGTGGTAGAACAGGAAGTGATGATGGTTACTGAATCTCGGTTTATAGTGGTTCTTGAAGACCACAGCTTCAATCACTCTACTATGTAGTAGTAATAATAATAATGTACGTTTCGGAGTCTTTTTATTAGGCGCCTATCTCAATCAATCCACTGTCTGTGTATAATAATCAGTTTACTTTATACGTTTCTGAGTGAGCCTGCACATCACTCTCAGGATCTTAATTTGCTTTTTGTTGAAACATCAATCAGTTCTCATGGACGTATATTTTATGCATTCACCACCCTTCCCATAAATATAGTGCAGAGACCGATACTCCTCAAAGAGGGAATATGGTTCTCAGACCATTTCCTTCCTACTAATGTGCTTCCTGGAGATGTTAATAGTTACTTTGTATACTAGCTAATTATGTGTTTTTATAAATGACTTCCTCAATGAGATTCTTTAGATATGGTATCTGAAGATTGACTGCAATACTGTATTTTACTCATACAGCAATAGTAAGTAGAACGGAGGCCATTTACATTCTAGATTAAAAAGAAACAGTCGTCATAGGTAAGTGAAAAGTTAACCCTAACCAGTAGAAATTTACCTCTGCAGAGTGTGTCATGGACCCTTCAGGCTTGCAGTGGCTAGTAACTCTTAATGACTGGCTAGTGGTGTAGTACTTGATATTTTAAGCTCTGAGCCTGTACATGACACCTTAGCATTATCTGCTGGGTACATGGTCACCCCGGCTTTTCCTTCACCTCTCACGTGCTGAGAAGTAGACAGGGGGGCCCAACTAAAGTGGCATCATCTGTAAAAAAAAAAAAAAAGTTATATGTAACTTTCCATATGTATATTCTGACACTGATTCTAATTATAATCTAACCTACAGATATCTTGGTGACAAAAAGATTGTGGTGAGACCAAACACAATATAATTTACCACAATGAAATAAAAACATTACTGTTGGGCACCGTCATACCTCAAGTTGGACTTTGAAAGTCTTCTTTTGGCACAGAAACTCGAGAAAGTATGTTTCCATAACTTTCCCAGAGTTCCAAGCTTGACATGTAAATGAGCACAGACTGGCATCTTGTTAGATAATGTGGATAAAAATAAGAAACCTGCTAGCCCTGAGTTAACAAAAAGTATGTCTCCAGATGTTGGGATTGACGTTCTCCTGATGCTTTGTCACTCTTAGATGAGGCCGTATATCGTGTTAGTTATGCAAATTTTAGATATCTACACATTAGATGCCGCTGTTTTACGATGTATGGAAGATGTTCAGAATAGCTTCCTGTGGTATTGTGGTTCCATTATCTAATGGCCACTGGTAGTATGTTAACCCATCAGCTCTTTGTATGAAACCACCCCAGATGCATGGAATCAAGGGCAACTCCTTCAAAGAATGCAATGGTCACCTCTTCTGCTGGCTGTGCTTAAAGGGAAACTCCACACCCCTAAAGCACTTCAGCTGAACAGTGATTTTTTTTTTTTTTTTGGGGGGGTGGGGGGGGGTGGAGGTCTGGGCAGTGGAGTGTTCCTTTAATACATTGAGGTACTCAAAGGGTTAAAGCCAAGTAGATTCCCATTTATACTGGTTGATATATATTAATAGTGAAACATTCTACAATATAAAGTATCTGTGTCCCCCTTCCCCCCTTAAAGTTTGCACAGTGTTGTTTGTGGGCACAAAATATTTTACAATTCATGTTTACTGGCATTTCCTAGATGTGCCTCCAATGCATTTTGAGTGCTCCTTTCACGGGCCAAACCTTTTTTTTTTTTTTTTTTTTATAAGGATTGAAAATATAGACCCTATAAAATAATTGCGATTCCTTAATTACTTAAATAATGTGCTGTTAACATACACTGTGAAAACTAAAATAAATCAACCGAAGGAATTTTAATTTAATTTTTTTTTTTTTCTTGAAACGTGACACGCATGCTTGGCATTGCATGTATAATATTGCCACCAAGTAAATGACTATAAATATAATAATGTATGATATATATATAATAATGGCTGATCTCGGCCCTGCACGTGGCTGGCTGAGCATTATGGAAATGCCCTTTGCAGTGCCAAGGTTACCCGTCACTAATATGTGCATTTGGAATACCGAGTAATATTAATTAACCCTTCTTCCTCTTCTGTATTTGAGGAACTCCTTCCAGAGAGAAACGCACTACATTCTTCTTTCTATTGTAAATCTCTTGGCATCCTAAAGATAAGGTCGAGGGGAAAGCCCACATCGCCCCGTCCTCTCTCTAGAGCTGGTTCGCCTATACCCTTGCTCGCCCTTGGGTAAATTTAGGATGCTCCCTACTCCCCCAGGGCCCAGGATGCGTACCTAATTATTCTAGTCAGCTTTCTAAGTATGGAAACACTACTGTAACAGGATCCCAAACTGCTATGGGCAAGCACATCTCTGTACTCCTCTCCTAGCAAGCCGTCTGCCCTCCACTGTCCCAGCATGGTCAGTTTGTCCCCGTCCCTCCCTCCCACTCCTCACTGTCACTCTGGCCCACAGCTGCTCTCTTCTCACACTGTCATACAGCACAGTTGTGGACACTGACTAACTATACCCATTTAAGGTTATATTTCACTGCCCACGCGACCGTCGTGCAGCAGCCAACTGGGGCTTATTCTGGAGCGGCCAAACTTTACATATGGACTCTAAGAAGTCTTCCCTCTCCAGAGAGGTGCTACAGCAGATCAATACAGCTGATAATGTTTATGATAATTAGCCACGAACGTGTGAGATATTTCGTTCCTGAAATTTGAAATTCACATTTAATTCCTGACAAGTCACACTCTAGTGAATGACTTGAATTTTGCTCAGCTAATGCCAGACATGTATATTCAAAGTAACTGCTAGCTCATATTCACTGGTGTATTCTTCATGCAATAACTGTATCCATTAAACATAACAGGCGTGAAAAGGGGGCTTTCAAAATGGTGAGCACTTCTGTGATGCGTAGAGAAGAGCACAGCTTTGTTACAGAGCTCTTAATAATTGCGTAATTAACTTTTTTTATATTAATGCACAGGATTTATATTAGCGTTGTTTTAGTGTTATATCATGGTACACAAAGTTCCGTAGAAAACGCTGAATGTCTTCTGTGGCTTAGGGTATGCTGAGTTAGCATTCTGCCTGGAATGTCTCTAGTTTCCTCATGTGTCTGATATATATTCACTTTTTCCACAAGATTTGCTTTTAACACTCTGAATGCAGTGCATTCCTCTACAATGAACTCAAACAGGGTTATTCATAAAAGGAACAGTCAGGGCACCATAACAACCTAATCAAAATAAAGTTGTTATGGTGCAAGGAGGTCTCTGACACTTCTTTAACTTTAGGAGGTAAGCCGTTCACGAATGGTTTAACCCCTAAATTGGCTCGTCCAACGCTGTTCTTAGCTGTCCCATCCACACCCAGTTTCAGAAAAAAAGGTACGTACCTTTCTCAAGCCATTTTATGAATGGGGAGCTACTGAATGGTTTAGTACATCAGCTGACCAATGAAAGCCAATTAGGGGCGCCTCTGCCTTTTAGCTGTGGCTTCCTTAAGCTGACTTTCTAAAAGTGTATGTGTATGCGGAGAACAAGGACTGGCGATGGAAAGCCAACTTTTCTTGTTATGGTACCTGGAGTTCTTTTAAAAGGTGAATTGTGGGGGATTCAAAGTGAAATAAACATACTCTGCCGAAATAACTTAACTGAAAACATAGATGACTTTTTATTTGGACTATATTTGCCATAAAATGTTAGAGAATAACCCTGTATAGCCTCTGATAAGCAGAAAGAATCTGGCGTATTGGAGGGGAGCTCTTTTTACAGTCGCCCACTCAAGGCTTGTTAACAACGCGTGTGGCTGTAATGAGAACCCACTCTGTCTTTCTCACAAGCCCCCATCACCAGCCGCTATTTAGTTACATTCACCTGTCATGTACCCTGTCACATACTGCCATACCATCACCCAGTTACGTAACCTGTTACATATTCCCATAGAGTTACATACAACCACCCACCTACTTACATTCACATCAATAACCAAATTACATATATTTATCCAGCAATGCAGGCACATTCACCTACCCAACCATCTCCTACGTACATTATGAACAAGCTCACATACACACATTACATACAGGCCGTCATGCACAGATCATACACAGGAGCACATACACAAATTACATGTGCAGTACATGTATGACATATCTGCAGCTTTAGGCTATACGGAATGGGAACCTGCAGTATTATGGCTAAAGGAACACTACAGCAATAGGATATGTAGATTCAGGAACCCCGTTAAATTAAATGAAAAAAAGAGAAGAAATGTTTTTATGTTTTTTACTTATCTATTTTCCATCAGTGAGAATTGCTCAGAGCTGCCGCCTGGGTCACCTCCTGTAACGTCATCCTGCAGGTGATGCTTCTGTGGCTCCTCTGCCAATTGAATGCTTCTAAGAAAGATGCATTAGGGAGAAATAGCACATGCAAGTCAAGCGCCACGCTTGTCCTATCAAATTCTTCTCATATGGAAGAATTGCCTTCAATGTTTCCCTATGATCAGCATTTGACGACATTGAACGTCACAAAACCAAGTCAAATCGGTTGCTGCAGAAGCACCCTCTAATTGCTTTCAGGAAGACTCCCTGTATTTCGTCGTGCAATCAAAACATTGCTGTATCCACTAAATGACAATATTTTAGATTGCAGGGCTAAAATGACAGGGACACTGCACTTTATTGAGATGAAGATTAGATTTCTGAGCGGTGGCGTACATACCGCGGTCGCAGGGGTCGCATTTCTGACCGGGCCCGTCACTCCAGGGGGCCTGGCCGCCCTGCGGACCCCCGCAACCAGGTACCAGCTGCCACATTTTGCGGCTCCGGCCCGTGCGGCAAACCACTGGGGCCGCATGTTAAGGGGTCCATCGGGTGGCCCATGCTTTCAGGGCCACCTGATGCATATGGATTGTCAGGGGGCCCGGTCAGCGCTGGGCGCTTTAACAACGTGACCGGGCCCCCTGTGATGACATCACTGCTGGGAGGAAGTGACTCCCCGGTCTCTCCTCTCAGCTATCAGCCCGCGCGGGAGGAAGCAGGAAGGAAGAGGGAGTCAGAGTGGGAACTCTGACTCCCATTAGGCTGAGCCCCCACTGGACCCCAGGGAAAGTAACAAAAGGTAGGAAACATTTTGTGTGTGTGTGTCTCTATATGTGTGTGTCTGTGTGTGTTTCCGTATGTGTATGTCTGTGTCTATGTGTGTGTGTCTATGTGTGTGTGTGTGTATGTGTGTGTCTGTTTTGTGTCTGTCTCTGTATGTGTGTGTCTGTGTCTGTATGTGTGTGTATGTGTGTGTGTCTATGTCTCTGTATGTGTGTGTGTCTGTGTCTGTATGTATGTATGTGTGTGTCTCTGTGTGTCTGTGTGTGAATGTGTCTGCATGTGTGTGTCTCTGCATGTGTGTATGTATGTGTCTGTGTGTCTGTTGGGAGGTGTGTGTTTGTGTCTGTATGTATGTGTCAGGGGGGCCACGGTCAGGGGGGAGAGGGTCAGGGTAAAAGGGGGGAGGGGAGGAGGAGCCCACAGATCAGTTTTGCACCGGGGCCCCATGGATTGTGTGTACGCCACTATTTCTGAGGACAATATTTCGTATGATGTCCTTTATTGGGGCATAAAAAATGAGTAGATGTATCAACAGAGGGGAATGAAATAGATCCATATACAGATCTGAGATGTCCTTCACCCAGGTCAGTGACCCTTGGGTTACCAATGCAGGGTGCATTTATCGATTTATCGATTTATCCATGAGTATGGTTTGCCATTTCTCTGAGATATTGGATAAAACAAATACAAATTGTGCAGAAACAGATCTGCATAGTAGAACACTTAGCACAGGCTCCATATCACACATAGATGCTTTGTACATGAATAGGGGTTTATTCTAGCAGCTCTATGTACTTTGTACAGGACTGGATGGTGTGTTGGAGACGTGTCATCACCAGTGTACGAGCTAAGTTCCCCTCCTTGTATATTCAGATTATCATGTAAGAAACTCGTGTGCTGTTCCAGTGGGATTTACGGCCATTACGTAAGACTCAATGAGAAAAAGAAGCTCTAACAGATGTTCGCCTGCATTGCACCAACTTATAAATAGGACCCAGAGAAAAGGCAGAGGGGCTTTCTATATATTCAGCGGGGCTGTGATAAATGAGACAAGCCATCACCATTATAGACTGCTTTCTGATTGACTCGGCCATGGTTTTGTTAATTGACCCGATGGCCTTCTACAAACAGGAACCTTTCTCCAAACAAAGGGAGCTGGCTTACTGTCTTGGAGGCTGTGTGCGAATGGACAAAAGTCTTTTTGATTTGCATTTTAACTTTTGTTCCATTGATCAGAGGGGGTAGGGGCAGCTTTCCACATATAGAGCACACTTTCCGAGCTGATTTCAGCTATTAGTGCAGATGTGGACAGTCTGAGGCCCAGCAGATGTTCTACAGATTTCATTATCTTTTTAAGGCTTGAGTCTTAAAAATAGAGATGAGATGGACTGCAATGGATTAATACAAATAATAGGGACTCTGACATATACCCAGTAAATGCCAAGCAATGGAGATGGTTTAGAGCAGCAATAATTAGTAAGATTGGCAAAGGATCATGGGAGATGTAGTCCAAAGCATCTGATATGGTATTGGTTGCCTTGGCTGGGTTCATAGTGTCCCACATGGAAGGGATTAGCACACAGTAAGTGAAAACTCACTGTTTATGAGCAGCACTGAATGAGCTGACCTCACAGCCACTCACTACTACCAATGCAATCTGACCAGGGGCCGCGGGGTTACATGCCAGCCTATTTGGCAAAGCAGCAAAGAGGCGAGATTTCGTCACATTGATGAAATGCACACTTTGAGATCTGGGTCAACAAACTCAGACCATAAACTGTGTTACAGTGTTTGATATAACTTGTTGGCTACAATCCTTATAGCTTTGCACTCTGGACTCTTAAACTCTCTCTTACTTTTTCTAAACCAAAACTTTATTTAGAAGATTAGGGTGTTATTGCTCATTTTGACATCAATCATTTTCGAAGAAAGTGGGGTAATGGGACGGGAGGGAAAAAAAGTTTAATAATGTGATTATTGACCTCACACACTTTCAATATAGACTAAGATTAAATATGAGAAACTGAGACTGATTTCAGACTGATTAATATTGTAAAGCGCTACGGAATCTGTTGGCGCGATATAAATGGCAATAATAATAATTATAATAATAATTTCACACTTATTATATTCTGTGTAATACTGCATAAGAAAATAGGAATGTCGTCATCTTTAAATGAGAAAGTAAAGTATAGAAAACCCTTAAAGGGAAGTTATGACCTCCACGGGTTTTTGAAGATTATTGCGTTAATTTAATATTTTTGGATTGCTTTTCAAATGATCACAACATATAAGAAACACTGTACCATTTACATCCGGGTTCTTTACTGAAGAAGACTGGACATTGTAGATGTAGTGCAGGTGCCATGCAGGACCCGTCCATTTTTTGTGAGGTCATTTGCTAAATCTTTTATTCCTTTGCGTTAAAAAAAAATACAAATCTGTTCCGCTTGTGTGAATTGCGGTATTAGTGGGGGGAAAGGGTTATTCACGGGACATGAATCTTGCTGGATGTATTCTGGGCAGAACTATTCGGATTGAGATTATATATAATTTGTTATTTATCTATTCCTCTGGTAGAGTGGTTGTAAATATTGCAATGTTAGAAGATTGTGCAAAGGCGACTTGATGTGTCTTGTTGCCTAATTATTTCGTTCTGATCAGTTCCTTAGATTTCTGGATTTCCCAGTATAAAAATATACCAAGCTCAATATTGCAAGGATGAAAAATCTAATCTTTAATTACAGTAATTAGGTAACGTGATATACAGCACATCCTTTAGAAATTGCAAGTGATCCGCAAAGCTTGGCATCTTTTCAATGTGCACATCCAATCAGGAAAGGGTATCCCTGTGTGGTATTAATACTCAGATATATGAGACAAAGTTATATATTGTAATGACTACACATGATTTCTGAAGAGCTCCTCACATCACATAATGATCTTTGACCTTTTCTTACACCAGAAAGTAATTTAGGCAATCGGGATCCTACCATTCTGTTGTGAACTGTTGGATGTGTTAACCTCAGCACTGCAAGGCTTAAAGAGACACACTATAGGCACCCAGACCACTTCATCTCATTGAAGTGGTCTGGGTGCAGTGTCCCCATCTCCCTTAGTCCTGCAATGCAACACATTGCAGTTTTAGAGAAACTAATTACTAATAGTACTAAGTCTGCCTCTAATGGCTGGAGGCGCTTCCTGGAGACTCATGGCGCTTCCTTGATAAAGTTTGACTCTGCATGAGAATGTCCAGTGTCAGAGAAAACCACAAAGGAAATCATTGAGGCGCTCTCATCGCTCACAGTGCATGCACATTAGGTCCCCCATCAAATGACACTTTAGGTTCCCCATCGGATTACACATTAGGTTCCCCATCAGATGACACATTATGGTGCCCCATCGGATGACACATCGGATGACACATGTTCCTCAGCTGCAGGGTTTTAGGTATACATCTTTATAGGGTACTAATTGCTAACACATGAGGGAAAGACTTGGTAAGACTAGGAGGGGTACTAAGTAGGGACACAAGAGAAGGTACTAACTGAGGACACTGGGTAGGGTAGTAAAAGGACTTATTTTAAATCTTGAGCCTGGAGTTGTTGCTCCAATAGTTCTAATGTGTCATGGGAAGTATTCCCCAATATAGAGCTTTGGAACTTACAGTAACCTTGGACGAGCTAAGGTTAGAGGCATATTACCAGTACTTATAGTGACCAGGCTTAAAAAGTGAATAATAAAAGAATAACCAGAAACAGGCAGAGGTAAAAGGGTTGCAGAGAGCAGAGAGAATGATAAATAAAGCCGGGTCAAGGAGGCCAGGAATCAGGGGAAATCATTCTATAGCTGCATCAAAACCAGATACAACCTGCACACAAAGAACAAGCTATTGGAACCAAAAAGGAACCATAACAGGACGATGGGAGACATATATATTGTCAATTGTGATGTGCACAATACATTGTTGCCCGAATGAAGCAGAGCACTCTGCACTGTAATCCTGGAGCAGGTTACAGAGTGTGTAAATGGACGCAGGTCCACAGCATCCAGTGTCAGAAATTATACCACCATAACGTGCACCTAGAATGGAGCAGCGGTTGATGTCTGAAAACTGACGCATACTTGGAGATGTTCTACAGCCAGAGGTACCCTGACACAATGTTTATCTCTATGATCTGCTGGGGGCCTAGTAACTGTGCCGTGTGCTTGTGTCATGGCGGGGACAATCCAGATTACTCTTATTTGGAAAGACTCTGATGACTTATGTTTGACTTTTTATCTGTTTAAGGTATAGATCCCTTTTTCACTGGATCAATAATAGGAGAACATAAATTCTGTTTCAAAGTATCAGAAAAATGGGATTGTAATAGTTTAAAAATCATTAATGGCTCATCGGCAGCTGCTGACATGATGATAATTCTCTACGGAAGTTGGTAATTTACCTCTAGGGGACTGAAAATTACAAAAACTTTTCCTTACAATGAATAGTTCAGCTTTTAAAACATATCTGTTTTTTATGCTTTTTTTTGTTTGTATTTTTTTAAGTAATAAACAAAAACGAGAAAAGAGAAGAGTGACCTAATAACTAAAATATAACTTTTAATAGAAAATATTAAAATAGTAAATTTGTAAGGATAATTATCCAAAAAAGTAAATATCAAAATTATTAAATATAATTGGAGTTAATATATAAATGGTTTGATCCAAAACTTATCAAGACATAATAATGATGGTGGTGAATAATCCTATGGCAAAATGTACAATATTCCTATCTAACGGAAACTGCCCCAAAATACATGTAAGGCAGATATCCAGAGAAAGGATATGTGCAAAACCAAAATATAATAACTAAAGGAACAGATAATTAATTAGTTTATTTATCTGTTCCTTTAGTTATTATATTTTGGTTTTGCACATATCCTTTCTCCGGATATCTGCCTTACATATATTTTGGGGCAGTTTCCGTTAGATAGGAATATTGTACATTTTGCCATAGGATTATTCACCACCATCATTATTATGTCTTGATAAGTTTTGGATCAAACCATTTATATATTAACTCCAATTATATTTAATAATTTTGATATTTACTTTTTTGCATAATTATCCTTACAAATTTACTATTTTAATATTTTCTATTAAAAGTTATATTTTAGTAGTTAGGTCACTCTTCTCTTTTCTCTTTTTTGTTTATTGCTTTGGCATATGGGTTAACCCCTTCACGAGTGTTCCTTAAAGCTTCCTCCTGTTCAGCTGTTTTTTGTATTTTTTTAAGTAATACATGCTTACTACCTTTGCTCATCTGATATATATTTTGTTATTCTTAATGTGGTCTCTTTTCAATTTATTGGGTTATAAATGTAGGGAGCATTTTACCTTCTGGGCTGGTTTTTGTTGTATCACTCAGAATTGGAATTGTTGGCCTCTAGCGCGAGAGATTGATAACTGTACAGGGGAAGCTGTGCTCGTACTTGCTTGCTGATACCACGACTTTAAATTTAGGTGCAATTCACATCCCCACTTCCTCTGACAGACTCACACATAGCTATCAATTGGATAGCCTGTACGTTGTGGACACAACCAACTTCATTCATGACGGAACATCAATTACGTTATCATCACATAAGATAATATCTCCTTATCACCCTCACTGGTCACTTTTTAAAAGGAAAATATCACTTGGCAAATATGTCAATGTCATAGTTATTCACCTTAAAATAAGAATTGTAGCTGTAGTGTACCTTGCCTATTCTACAAGCAGCACTTGGCAATGTCTAACTGTTTGGATCAGTGGCAGCAGCCTGGTACACACTGAGTACAGGAGGGCGACTGACTGTCACTCATAGGAATTCTTAATGTTGTATTCAAGGGTAGCTCTTGGGGGCCAGAGGGGGAAGTAAGCTAAATAACACTTTTATTAAAGGTTCTGACCTGCATGAGCAAGTTGGTTCTTGTCCAGTGTATGGGTCACAGTAATACATTACTCCTACCTTATGCTATCTGGACTCTGACCAAGGCCTACTACCTGGCTTTCATTTCCGACTAAAAGAAATAGTAATAATCCCAAGGCACACTAGGATTTTTCACATAAAAAAGCGTTTATTCATGCATAAAAAGTACATCAACATATCATGATAAAAAGAAAGTGCATAGTTTAGTGCAGAGGTAGGCAGCCTTCGGCACTCCAGATGTTGTGGACTACATCCCCCATAATGCTCTTACACCCATAATGCAGGCAAAGCATCATGGGAGGTGTAGGCCAAAACATCTGGAGTGCCGAAGGTTGACTATGCCTGGTTTAGTTCATAACCTCCTTATAGTACCAAAACCACAGTAATAGTAAAGTGCTAAAGACAACCACCCAATAAAAAGGTATACTGACCAAGAGCAGGAGAAATGAATAACCCCAACGTTTTGGCTATGGAGCCTTCCTCTGGGGGACCTCTCACTGACTGATCCATATTCCCACTTATATATCCCATAAATGAAGACTAATTAACCTAAAAGTGATCAGCTGCATCAAGGGAAGTGCTTCTCAATCATATCATTTAATGAACCAACCCCAAACCATTCCTGAACATGGGATATTAGAGGTGTATATAAGCGGTATAAAAGAGTTAGCGATGGCGCTGGTCAAACAAACTTCCGATCTATAGTATATTAAAGTATCACTATTTAGACGCTGCACCTACCCCTTGTTTTATCCAGATTTTAACCGGAAAAGAGAGACTCCGTATTTGGTGATTGAGCTGCCATTGGACTGTTATCATTTTATAAGCGCTAAATTATATCCTTTGGTTTTTGTACATTAAAGTATCAGTTTACGGCATTCTGTTAGACGGGATAATATAAAAGTATCAGTTTTAGACATTCTGTTAGGAGGGATAATAGTATATCTTGTCACTGAATAGCATAATTCTACTGCGAAACTGTTCTATTACAGGAGACAAGCTTATGTGTTTAACATGACCTATTCCTATGAATAGATTTCCCTCTTCTAGAAAACCATTGCTGCCCTATTGGATGGATCTTATATAAGCATCCACAGCTATGGCGAGGTCAACCACCCTAAGCAAAGGTTGGCCATCTCTGAGACAGATTGTCCCAGCTGCCTGGATATAATGGTTAGGCATGAACACTCTGCTCCTGGTCATCTCTAGGACGTCCCATTACGGACGGGAATGGGTTGAACAGAGATGGGGTGATGATTTAAAGGCATCTCCTGTCTGTGTCCTCTCCGTGAACAAGTATGTGAAAAATGTAGCTTGCGCTGCATCAGCGTTGACCTCAGAGGCATATCTTTCCCATAATCCCTCTGGAATATGCGACTGAATGTCAGTGACACAATACGGAATACCTCATGTGTATCGCGTTTCTGTGTCTAGTTATAAAAGGCACTGTCTTTCTCTACAATCAGCAAATAGACACGACTCGTTGTGTCAGCAGTGTTTAAGAATACACGGCTCTCTAAATAGGTGTGAGCGTGTATAAATTACAGGTGTGTTTACTAAACCGGAAATCGTCAGGAACTCAAAACGAATTCCAAATTTTAGATGGAATTAGCACACATGGAGAAATTCTCCAATCTAGCCCTGTTTTCATTTTGAATAGTCTGGCCTAAAATTTAATATTTACTTTGAATTCATGACAAATCACACTTTAGAGAAAAAATCTGTAAGTGTTTATCTAATAAAGCGACATTATTATTTTTACGCAGTCCTGCCTCAATAACCGAAATTAGAGCGATGTACAGTAGAGTAAGACTATGAGTATGTACACTATGAGAACTTAGAGTTGTTGGTGTGTTTTCTGATCTTTGACCCGAAACCACTTTACAAACTGATCCCAATCCATAATTCGGGAGCCATTTTACCACCAGAATACATTAACGGCTTAAAATACCTAACTTGGGATATACTAGTTAATCTCTTGAAAGGCCAGGTGGCAGGTGTGTCATTAACCTATTATGTGCCAAATGGACGTTGATGTGTAATGCATATTTGTCCTATTGCACAAACACTAACTCACATAGAAATGTTTGGGGGTTATGGTTAATTGTTGGAGAGATGTTTCCAGTGATGACATGTTTGATAATAACGTTAAATTTTTTGAGAACTCCTCTTAGACAGCATTGTGATTGAATAAACTTAATTGTTTTATGTAAGGCACCAGGAAATGTTTCACAAAATTCTGAATTGTGGAAGTGTTATTGAAACGTTTTAGAATGGCGAGATTGCGATTACTGTGATTAACATCAGCCATTAGTGTGCCAATAATTATCAAACAAGATATTATAATGTGCCCCATGGATCGTTAGGAAGTATCTACGGTATGCTCCATTTATGCCTAGTCTGTGGTTACAAAGGTTAAATGGAAACCCATTTCAAGTATATTTTGCATCAATAATTATTTATTGATGATAAAGTTAAAGTCTATCCTAATTTTTATTTTCATCTCAGCTGAAGTCAGCTGTAAAAGTCAAAATAGGATAAGTGATTATGCAAAGTTGTAGTATCACAGTTTTGGCAAAGCATCATGGCAATTTTAATTCACCGGCAGGAGTCGTTCATAGCTAGAATACCCAGTAGGAAATGTATCAGTTTTGTGCGAATGCAGACTGGGTTCACAACTGTCCTGGTTGTGCCTGAGCAAAACTGCCCTGTATGTCTTCACACAGAATAAAGTGCATTTTATCAGGAGATAATTTTAATATTTGGAAAAAAATATTTGAAATCTATCGAAAAATATTAACTCATTTGAATAGCTTATCAAAAAATATTAAATCGAGGCCCATATCACGAATCAGGACTGCTTGCTTGGGTTCTGCACAGTTGGGTGATATGCCTCCAGGACTATCTCATTGGATTTGGGACACCTGGGTGGTATGCTTATACACCAAAGTGGTAAAAGGTTAGATTCCTACAGCCATATAAAATCATTCCTCTTCTCTTATGCTATTATATTTCATAAAATGGGATACATACACACAGTGAAATGCCTCTTATTTGCACATTTTAAAGTAGTTTCCTTTTTAGCAATCACTTGTAAATCACCTGTTAACCCTTCATAAGACAGTTGCCTGCTATGTTGGGATAAGTCTCCTGTTCAGTGGTGCCACACAGATCTATGCTTGTGTTCCCAAGTCTCTGGTTCGAGTGCTACTCTCAAAGCTATTTTTTGTCCCTGTGTCAGACACCTGTTGGGAGTTGTCACTTAGTTCCGGGACAGTGACTTTCGGCTGGCAAAAAGTTACCACATTCCTAAACAGAATTCTACTAGGTATACTTCAAGTGCACACATCATTCCCAATGTGAATGAAAAGGTGCTCTTCGGGTAAGTCGTAAAATTTGATCTGCACATCGTGTAACACATTTGCAAATTTATAGATCAAATGAAAGTCTTACCTGATATTTTTGCTTGACATTTGCAACATGCATTTCCCCCCCTTATTTAGAAGGGAGAGTCCATATCCTTCTGTCCCTCTTCTGTATCCTAATGTCCCTCTTTTCTAGGAGCTCCATATTATTGGTGTGTCTGAGTATATAACATAGCTTAAAATCAATAATACTCCCAGTGATGTGTCTTTAAACTACAATAAATGTGTTTAGAAACCAGTCTGTGTAAATAACATAATCTGTTTTACGATAACCAGTCTGTTTAAATTATGGTCTTTTGATGAATAATGAAGAAAAATGTGCATATAAAATATCACTTTATCACTGGGCTAAGTCAATATGCTAAGTATTTTTACTTGAATATATTTATACAGTTATTAGATGTATTAACAATTTTGTGCTAATTAATAACTCACTGCTAATGCTTCAAGCAAACAGTATTCATTCTTTTTTAATCCTTCAGGGTTTTATTTATTTTTTGGAACTAAATTACATTATGCGCCACCAAAATGAACACAATGGTTTAACGGAAGTCAAACATTTTCAGGTGGTAAAATCCAATAATGAAATGGAAGTTTGAAACTAATGCAACAATTCAAATGTATCATGCTCCTGCTGTCCCTGCTAATATTCTTATAATCCCCAGACATGACCAGCATGTCACACATTGAACATAGGACACACAGACGACAACTTAGCAAATTTCAAATGTATTTTTACCTTTTTTAAAGGGCAGATGCTTTAACATCCCCAGTAGAGTTTCCAGTACTGTCAGAAGACTACAGTACATTACACACCGTTCTATTCTATCGGGGGAACACGTCAGGAGTTTAAAAATAAATAAATATGTAACATCCGATTATCTTAACCCCTTAAGGACCAAACTTCTGGAATAAAAGGGAATCATGACATGTCACACATGTCATGTGTCCTTAAGGGGTTAAACAAAAACTGTGTACTTATAAAATACAACAGTGAATAACAAGCCATCAGAAAGTGCTGCCATGTAATCGGAATTACCTCTTGCAATTCAAGTGCAAGCAAAACAAAACAAAAAAAAGAGTGTCTCTAGTGAAAATCTCATGCAAAATACAAATAAATCTGTAGGTGTTTTGTTACCTTAAGCTTCAGCATGTTCTCATATAAACAAAAGAGAGAGGAGAGAGAAATATGCGTATATAGTGTAGTATTTTAATAAGAAAAGATAAAATTTACATTTAATTAACAGACACTCACAAAATAATAGCACAACAAAAGTGTACTAATAGAGCTTTGCCCTAAGGGCCACTTACCTCCAATTAGTCCTTTAATCTTCTCCTTAGCTGGTCCACAAGTCCTCCACACAAAAGGACTTGTGGATGCGTTTTGTCTTGTCGTCTTCTTCAAGAGCTTCTTTCTTCTTATGTGCGTTTCATCTTTTGTAGGTAAAATATTACGCTATATTTGCATAGATTTATTTCTTTATTTTTTTTATATGAGAATACACTGTACCTTAAGGTAACAAAACATCTACATTAAAGCAGCACTGTCACCGTTTGGGGACTTTGCTGAATTTGCAAACTTTCCCGAAGGTGACATTGCTGCTGGTGATCCAGAGACCGGAGGGAGAGGAGGGGAAAGGAGGGTGGTGGCAGGTAAAGGTGTGTTTAGTTACCTGAACCTATCCATCACAGGCGCCCAATCTTGATCCAGTGGGGTCCTCTTCGGCACTGACGTCATTGCTGTAATCTCACTTAGGTGCGAGAGTACAGCACTGAGGTCTATGGGGGATCCCGCAAGACCTTCCATAGACAAAGCCAATTGCCTGCAGCCGTAATCTGTTTGACTCTTGTGTTAGGTGGCATTTGAAATAAATTGGGGAAGTATGTAATGGCTTGTTGGTGTCTCTGGCTTTAAATTTGATAAAGAAATGATAGTTATAATAGATGTTTGGAAACAATATATTTTTGCTGGTAGGGCCTATCAACCTCCATGTACGTGATGGGTTACAATAGTCAGTATGACCCTTTTCAGGAAAAATACCTTGAAAGGCAAAGGCAGTAATATATCATTTTTTTAATTTTTTTTATAAAGCGACAAAATATTCTGCAGAGCTGTACATTGGTGGACTAGTAAACAAATAATATCATTTGAAGCTACACATTTGCTAACACATTCACTTACACAGCCCTAATCCACACTTAGGTTGCTTTGGGAGTTTGGGAGCAGTATAAAATGGAGCAACACTTTCTAGGAATTAAATTTAATCCATATTCTATCATTATTGAAGATCCATTTTAGATTAGTATGTCGAGGTCAAAGGAGGATTCCCATGGGGATCCCCTGGCAAGAGGTAACTCCTGGAATAATAATTCTAAAACGTTTGGTGGATTCCCAAGCAAACGCAAATTAATGTAAAATTAAAACGCGGGGAGGCATGTAATGGCTAGTCTTAGCCTAGTCTTAAAATGAATAGAATAATAATAGATCTTCCACTCTAATTGTTTTATTTATGCTCTAAAACAGAACTGTCACATATGAGATTTTTGCCCAATCAAGTACTTAACTAACAGCTATTGGTTGTGCTATTTAAAGAGCACGCCAAGCCCCATAACTACTAAAGCGAGCTGTAGTCATTATGGTACCAGCACTGCCTTGGTACTTCCTCATTGTAAGGATTCAAACTGTTTTCAAACGTTTTGCATTCTTACCTGGTGTCTACCTGGCACTGATCCTGTATCCACTAATGCTCAGTGAGAGCCAGAAGATTTCTTCACTGAGCTAAGTCTATTTTTCTTTTTTTTTTTTAAATCACACGAGTTCAATAGTTTTTTTTATTTACGAGCCCTGCAGAGTATGGCATGTATATTAACTTAGCCCATGCAGTGCTGTACGCTTTGTACATGTGCCCATGTGGCCCTGCTGATGGAATGCTTGAGTGCGCATGCAGAGTGACAAAGTTGCGAATAATGCAGAAGTGCGGCAGAGGTAAGTGCATTTTGTACTTACCTCCAACGATTTTTTTTTTCACCCCAGTAAATGCTAAAATAGTTTTTACTGGGGTGAAGGAACAAAGCACTGTGACTTCCAATAAACTCAAAGTTCCAAAAATGAATTTGGTGAATAAAATTGTGCTGCTGTGATAAATAGTAAATGAAAAAAAGCACACAGAAAGTATTAAAAGTACACATGACTGAGAATTTTTAACGCAATATTAGCCAGTGCTAAGAGAGTTTATTTGCGTAGTTATGAAATATATCAACAACTCACGTTATGATTGATCAGTTACTGCTGGTACAGTGGTACTAAATGCAAAAATTTAGTAATTATAATATTTATTTTTATTGTTGTTTAGTATATGGCTCCCTTAAAGTTTTTTAGTGCTAAATGTCAAAGATATGCGGATGCTATAATTGTGTGACATACGTACATAAGGAGCAATCAAAACAGATTGAAATTTTTAAGGTGTTAATTACTTGCAGGTATATATCAATACTATAACTTTTACCTAAGTTACCCTAAGTAGTTATTTGTAAATTAAGGTTTGTTAGGTGTCCACACATGCGGAATAAAATACGCATGCATGTATATTTGGGTCACACGCTCTAATTATTACAAACTTCCCTTATGTCGCTATTAAACAGAAGCTTGGACTAACAGATCATGCAGATATTAATGTTTTGGCTCTACTCTACTGAGCTCAGTGCTTGGATGACACTGACTGATCATCTTCTAACCATTTAGAATTTCAAGTAACTTCCCCGGATGGCCCTGAAGATCCAGGAAGCTTTGCCGATGGCCAGCCAACTGCTGTGGATTCTGGCTTGGATGAAAAGTCACTGAATGTTGAGCAGATTCCGAATCTGCTGGTGTCCTACACAGAGGGCCTGGAGGCTGAGACACAAGACCTGAAGCCGCAAAACTGCAATTCTGAGGTTAGGGACGAGGTAAAAATTGAGACTGAGACCTTGAAGAATGATGGGCAAGACGAATGCAACAAATCTTGGGTTTTACCTCCTAGTGAACATACAACAAACATTATTGATGAAGTAGATGATTCAAGTGAAGAGGATGACAGTACACAGGAGGGAGACTCAATCATTGTTGAATCTCTGGAGGTTGAGGAGCCTGACATTATAGAAGATGAAGACATAAAAGCCACCGAAGAGTCAACTCAGAGTGAAAAAGATGTAGAAAGCATACCTTTAACTGAGGAGACACTAACTGAAAAGGCTGAGTATGACAAAGATGATGATGATTTGGTTTTTGGGCAAAAGGAGAGTGATTCTGGCATTGAAGAAGCTGGAAGTTTCCTAGAATCCAAACAAAGTCTGGCAACCGGAGATGAATCAGAACAAATTGCATCGGAAGAAGAAACATCAAATGAAGTTGGGGATAAATTTGATCATGAAACAGATGACAAAGACTCGGGAGAAGACAGTGATGCCCACACTTCTGAAAGAAGCACTGAAAATATTTTTAAAACAGATACAGACAACTTAAAGTCTAGCAATGATGAGTCAGCAAATGAGCATGAGACTGGAGATGTTGTAGAAGAGATATCTGAGCAAGAACCAAAAAATGAAGAGTTGCAGGAGCTTCATGAACCCTCTGGAGACTCAAATGAACTGGAAACATCTGAGACAGAGAATGTCAACCAAGAGGATTTGAAGGAGTCCACTAATTCTGAAGAAGAGCTTTCAACAATAGTAGTGCCACTGAATGAAAACATTGATGAGCAGCCATATGAAGAAGACACAGAAGCAGGCAATAAAAAGGAAGCAGAAGAAGACCCGAAAGAAGAAACCATTGGGGATGTAGAAAGGGAAGACATTCCAGAAGAAGACGAAGAGAAACCTGAAGAGCAGCCAGCCAGTGAGGACATCGTTGCAGAAGAAGAATCAGAGCAAATTGCTGAAAGTAAATCAAGTGCAGATGACTCAGTGGAGGATCAAACTTTGGAAACTCTGCCAGTAGATCAAGTGATAACAGTCCAGGATTCCATAGAACAGGAAAGTGACAATGAAGGGAAGAGATCTGATGAAGATGAGGCTACAACCACTGATCAAAGGATTACCAATAAACAAACAAAAGAGCTAAAAGGTATAGACTGAGTCATATCTTCACTCAAAACTAGCAATGTGGAAGAAAAAATGAGTCTTAAGAAGTAAACATGCCCATTGAAATATTGAAGCCATTTCTAGAGGCTTTTTTTTTTTTTTTTTTACCAGAACATGAATGTTTTATAGGTTTTGACAGTCAACATGGAGATGTTTAGAAGCAAATTTAAAAGTGGAATCTTCTCTCTTTATCAAGCTTCTGCAGTGTATATATTTTGGGAAGTGCAAGGTTATCTCAAGGGTCATCGGGCAAGGGTCATCAGGAACTCTAATAGAGCTTAAAGGACAGTATGGTCTATCTTATTATATATCATTAATTTATTATTAATCAAGTTACTTTGTGCTGCAGAAAACCAGACCAGCGCATCCGTAGTTATAGGTAGAAGTGTAATCGTCGCACAGATCAACATTATTACAAGGTGTTCCACATTACAGATAGGTTGAGAACAGAACCTTTTGTTCATACATGAGGCATCTGGGTCTTCGAAACAGGCTTGGGCGACTGAATTATATAGTTTGGGGAAAAAGTAACATATTGACTTTTGCTCCAACACTTAAAAACTGTATATTTACTTCTTAAAGTGGATATATGAAAAATGTTGCATACTTTAGCCCTATTTATAACACAAGGATTTCTAGATTATTTAAAAGAACACTATAGATCGAGGAATACAGCAATCGGTCGGCACTGGCCCCACCTCCAAACCGCTTCTTATCTGAAATCATCAGAATTGATGAGCTCACCCAATCCAATGCTTTCCAACGCTGCTCTGGCCAATCAGCATTTCCTCATAAAGATGCATTGACTCAATGCATCTCTATGGGGAAAGTTCACTTCAGCGTCAGTTCTGAGTGACTGCCAGCAGAGATGTGCCTAGGCAGTAATAGAAAAACTACCTTTTCACGAAAAAGACAGTGTTTACATGAAAATGCCTGCAGGGACTGACTATACTCACCAGAACAACAACATTAAGTTGCAGTTGTTCTGGTGACTATAATGTCCCTTTAACCTTTCTGAGAATTGTTTAAGCCGGAGAACTTTGAATTGCATGCAGTAGTCAATGATAATTTAAATGCTTTTATGCTTTCAAACGTAACCATGGTACATCGATCTTCAATTATAAAAGACCCAGCTTTTCATTTGTCATATTGTACATGCTGAAATTACTATTACATAACTCCTTCAATAGATCATTCTGAGATTCATAGGGCTCTCAATTGTACCAGCGATAGTGGTGCTTTGCCGGTGAACTATTCATTGTGAGCAGTAATTTGTGATCGGACATCTGATTGGTCGAGTTATTGAGGACACTAGGGACATAGTTTGGGGTTTACTTTAGGCTATGTCAAAGACCACAGCTATTATCTCTCATTACCAATGTTTTGTTATCTCTACCTTAGCTTGCATACAAAAGTATAGACAACTAGTTATTCTAAACAAGTACATTCCGGGCCAAGTTCTAAAGGTGGAGCGATGGTCAGGACTATTTCAATGGTTTCCATAGTGATTGTTTCACTTTTAGAACATTGACTCAGAATTTCAGTTTAGCTCTGTAGTGTGATGGAATTTGTATATTGAAATGCTTTTTTACTGCAGATTAAAGTCTAACACCATTTTCACTTTCTTTCTAATAGAGGACACAGAGGAATCTGAAGACTTTGTAAGGAGGGAACGAGGCCACATAGACAGCACATTGAAACTTACAGAGGAGAAGCCAATAGATGACTACCCAGGTACCCTTTAAAATCGCCCATGCTCAATTTTTTATTAAAACATTTCATCTACAAGATTAGAGCTTGCCACCAGCTTTGCCTAAAAAACACTCTACAGAAACTGTGATTCTCCTCTATTCATTGTATGCGTTTTTCATGTTTGTTTGTTCAAATTTTTATTAGATTTTGTGGGAAATTACAGAAAATTTGAGGTGAAATGGGGCTTAAAAAGAGCATCACAGATGTATTTGAACAAAAACAGCCAAGGTTTCAAGGAAAGAGGAAACATTAGACCTATGTATTTCTGGAAGCACATGTGTAGATTAAATATTACTACCTGGATAAGACTGGGGTGTTCTAATACAGCAAGATTTGAGAGCTTGAAAAATGATTTTACTTATTTAGCTTGTGAGCCATTATTCAGATAACTAGTAAATGATACATACAAGTACACATGACAAATCAATGTAGGCAGATAGGAACAAAGATTGACAATGATCCTACTCAAGTGAGCATACACTCCAATCAAGGCACTGTACCAGGGCAATTCAGGAAGAGGTGGTGAAATAAGGCCAATTAATTCAGCATGACAAATTGGGGTGAAAACTATGAAGAGCATGGTGTGATCCAATATTGGTAATTTCATTTAATCTCATGTAACAGTTAGTGTTGTGATATTCAGAGAGCAAAGCAATGTTGTGTAAAGGTTAAAGGAAAACTATAATCACCCAGACAATTTAGTCTCAAAGAACTTTTGTAGAATCCACTGATGGCACTTACCCCACCAACTCCCTAGAAACTCTGTCATGTATTAAAATGCTGCTGTTAGCAGCATTCGATTGGAGGAACACTGCATTTGGCCATACATGCACATCTTCAATCTATTAATTCACTATGAGAAGCAATGGATTGGAGGAGATTGTGAGTGATGTCAGCTTGGATGCTGACATCACCGGAGGTGGAGCTGGAGGTTGCAGTGGAGGAGTCCCGGCACAGCAAAAAAGGTGAGTAATCATTATTTAATTTAATTTTACACAGCAAAGGGGGGCAGACAGAAGGGAACCTATAGTCCCAAAATTAAAGGACCACTCTAGGCACCCAGACCACTTCAGCTTAATGAAGTGGTCTGGGTGCCAGGTCCTTCTAGGGTTAACCCATTTTTTCATAATTATAGCAGTTTCAGAGAAACTGCTATAATTATGAATGGGTTAAGCCTTCCCCCTAATCCTCTAGTGGCTGTCTCATTGAAAGCCACTAGAGGCGCTTGCGTGCTTCTCACTGTGATTTTCACAGTGAGAGCACGCCAGCGTCCATAGGAAAGCATTGTAAATGCTTTCCTATGAGACCGGCTGAATGCGCGCGCAGCTCTTGCCGCGCGTGCGCATTCAGCCGGCGGGGCGGATCGGAGGCGGAGAGCTCTCCGCCCAGCGCTGGAAAAAGGTAAGTTTTTACCCCTTTCCCCCTTCCAGAGCCGGGCGGGAGGGGGTCCCTGAGGGTGGGGGAACGAGTATGTTTTCCTGGCACTATAGTGGTCCTTTAAGATTTTTATTTTTGGCACTATTAGTTTCCTTTAAAGATATGGTTTAACTTTCCGTGCACGTATTTTAGAAGTAGATGCAATCAGTTCAGCTGACCTCTAGAAAATATCATTTGCAGACCGCATGTCATAATATTTATTCTCTACAAACATTCCAACAGTATGTGATGGGTCTCCGCACAGCTGCACAGTTAGTCCACATGTTCCTTGAAGTTGTGGAGGAAATAACATGAACGAATGTTACTGCTCAGTAAAACAAGACGACTCCCGCTCTTTGCAAAGTCAAATTTTTTGGGATTGCTGTCTTTGACCAACAGTGCCCATGCAGTATTTCTGGGCGTGCTGGTCTGGATCTTTTTCAGAGACCTTGAAATGGATGGCTGATTATTACTGGAAATCTAGTTTCCAAAAATTGGGGTTGGAAAGTTTAACCATCACTCTACTATATCTAGATTGTCCATCACATATAACAGTTGAAATAATTCATGATAGAACATCTCAGCTTGCTCAAGTTAGAATCAGTTGTGTTAAAAGAATCTTATGTCTTTACTGGTAGTATTTTTCGGGGGGAAAAAAAAACATAAAGAGGGTATAACCAGTATTCATACTGGGATACTTTATTTATTACATACATAACTTAGTCAATGCAGGAGCCGGATCATAGTAAGAAAGAGACAGATGCAGCCAATAGCAATGCATGGAACCAATAAGGGCCAATCAGAAAGAGGTCAGGTAATGAAATAAGGTCAATGAGTCACAAGGAGCTTTTTCAGAAAGGGCTTTGGCTGGCATTAACTAGTACTAGGACAATCCATGTGAAGGTAATTGAATGCCTGGTGGCAGCTAATCCCAGGCTCATCTCTTTCAGAATAGTCTCTGTTTTTTGTTAAAAGCATAAACACTAGGACTGCATTGATTCTGCAATCATCTGAGATTTTCTTTGCTTTAATTCTTACTGTTCCATCTTTTTCTCGCTCTCTCCCTTGTAGCGGCATTGCAGCGGCTGAGGAAGATTTACCACTCGGCCATCAAACCCATGGAGCTGTCTTATAAGTACAATGAGCTGAGACAGCACGAAATTACAGGTACATGCCTTATATAATGATAAAAGGAGTATACAAGGGCCTAGTGGTGTCATTAGTACAGTGCGAATGAGTGGCAGACACAAAAGGTGAAACACAATTAAAATGAAATCTTGAATGTATGGAATTAAAGGTGCTGCTCATTCAAGGCCACTATTGACCCGGTAGCATTAAACACATGGTTTAGGAATGACTTAGAGCTCATTAATATTTGAGATAAGCAAGCTCAACTTAGCCTGCACCCGTCAATGTTCTTCAGCTTTGTCCTGATGGAACAGATGCAGCCAATGACAATTCTCCATTTGCCCCCTCCCAACATTCTTAGATAACTAAAGTATTAGTGCTATTAAATGTGAAATAGATAATGCACACCCAGAAGCTAGGTTTGAGCAGAACAGTGCAAAATTGCAGCCATTAGACCTTGGTTCAGTTTAAATTAAGTCTTCCAATCAAAAATTAGCAATTTCTGCAAAAAACAAACAAGTCTCCAAATCACATGTATTTAGAACCAGGCAAAATATTTTTTGCTCTTAGCGCCCTACCTCAACCAATTAACCAACGTCCCACCTTACAGCTAGCTACCCTCCCGCTCTTTATCTAAGATGCCCCTCATTTGTGTAATCTAACCCTAGAATGCCTTTCTGTGCTTTTGTGACTTATGTATGTCTATTCATATTAATAAATACTATATTTAGTTTGAAAACGGAGGAACATCTGGCTACCAATCTTCCTTTTAACATTTGCAAGCATGGCCAGTCCACTTTACCCTATCCATCATTTCTGATCCACCATGTCTAGCTTTGGTATTAGCTAGCTAATAATGGTATGCTTTGGTTATCCATTGTACTGCCCTGCAGTATTTGTTCCCAATTTATACATGATCTTATAATATGAGGCCATGGTCAGAAGAAGCATTATCATAGGTTGAACCTTTTTAAATATATAGAAAGGTGATAGACCAACAGATTGCTTGATTTATAAACAGCATTGACTCAGTGGGGTTCAAGAATGGCAGCTGAGTTTAAAGGATAGACACAGGGGCTTTGAAAAACAACATAAGAGAGCTTTCGTATTTAACAATAAGAGAAGAGTCTTCCACCAAGAGTCAACAGGTGAAGGAGTTCAGAAACTGTTTCAATTGATACATGGAGGGTGGAAGGTTGATAAGAATGCCAGTTTGAGGGAGGTTACAGAACTTAATTTTGGATATAATGATGATAATGGGATGGTTCAACAATAGAGTTAAATGTAATGAATGAATGGATGACTCCTAGGAGGTGGGATCGATACGATGGCTGGGTTATTCACTAACCTGTGGATTGTCGTGAAATTACCGGTATATGGCAAATTTTAGCCGGAAACAGAGAAACCAGGAAAATAATCTTACATTTGTGATTCATTGGTGACTTTCAGACAATTATCTGCTTAGGGAATAGCCCATTCAGAGTTTAGGAAGGGAGAAACATAGGTTAGATAATATATTGGTTGTGTTTGGGCTAGGTTGAGTGTTAGGGCCCTTGCATCTTGTAACTCCATGTTGACGTGTGATTTCCCTCCCATCTGCTAACAGCCTACCAAGGACGTACCCTTGCTGACTCGGCCACAGGTTGGTAAAACTGCCCGAGAAGCACGAATCCTGCCTGGCCTTCTCAGCTTGTGTGTCTGGCCTTCCTCCATGTAGCTCATGGTTGAGGAGTCTGCACTCAATCGCCTGCTCCCTTAGCCTTGCTCCATTGCTTACGCCCTGCTCAAACAGAGCTAACCTGTTTCACATGAAAATGACCCTGCAATGTGTGTCAGTGCAATACTAATATCGCAGCTTACCTTGTTTCGAGGTGAAGGCATCCTTGGGAAACAGGTCAGATCAAAGAAGCTAACGAAAATAAATACACATAATCACATAATATAAAGGAATACAATTAAATACCAAAGTGGACACATCAATAACAAGTACAGCAAAGAAAAATAGCCTAAACGACATTTAAAAAAGAATTCTAAATATTTGTAATCATTGGCACCTGCCCAGCATGTTATCAGTGGAAATTTAGTGAACACATATAGGGTATATTTCTTAGAATAACCTAATACCCCCAGATCTTTCAGGATGTGATGCTCTAAGTCAAACCTGCTTTCTCATTGACAGCCGCTAGAGGCACTTCCGCGCTTCTCACTGTGATTTTCACAGTGAGAAGACGCCAGCGTCCATAGGAAATCATTGAGAATGCCTATGGACTGGCTGAATGCGCGCATGCGCATTCGGCAGAAGAGGGAGGAGAGTCAGTAGTGCCGAGGGAGCCCGGCGCTGGAGAAAGGTAAGCCTTAAACCCCTTCCTCCCCCTAGAGCCCGGCGGGAGGGGGGCCATGAGGGTGGGGGGGACCTATTAACACTATAGTGCCAGGAAAACTAGTTTGTTTTCCTGGCACTATAGTGGTCCTTTAATGAAGACGTTTTGGTGTATAGATTATGCCCCTGCTGTTAAATCACTTTGTTTATGCTGCAAAGCTAATTATTGCAGTTTTTAAGAAACTGAAATAATTAGCTTGGTGGGTTATTATTATAATATTTATATAGTGGGTGGAGTAACAAACATGTAGTTGTAACCAGACAAGTTGGACACACCGGAACAGAGGGGTTAAGGGCCCTGCTCAATGAGCTTACATGCTAGAGGGAGTGGGGTATAGTGACACAAAAGGTAAGGGACGTATTAGGGAAGTAGATTGGTAGAATAGTATTCAATAAAGACTTAGTGTGGGGCCATTAACAGTTTAATTGATATGCTTTTGTGAAAAAGTGAGTTTTTAAGGATTTTTTGAAGGAGTGGAGACTGGGTGAGCGTCTGACGGAGAAGGGAAAGGAGTTCCACAGGAACGGTGCAGCCCTAGAGAAGTATTGGATACGAGCATCAGAGGTGGGAGTACGAACAGAGGATAGACGGAGGTTTTCAGCAGAGCGTAGGGGCATAGACGGGATATACTTGTGTATTAGGGAGGATAGATAGGTGCGAGTAGCATTATGTAGAGATTTGAAAGTAAGAACTAGAATTTTATATTGAGCCCTATATCTTACGGGAAGCCAATGCAGGGACTGACAGAGGGGTGAGGTGTGGGAGGTGCAGCCAAACAGGAAGATGAGTCTTGCCGCCACATTCATTATAGACTGCAATGGGGCAAGCTGAGAGCACGTAAGACCACTGAGAAGAGGATTACAGTAGTCAAGGCGAGAGAGGACAGTGGAATGGACCAGCACCATAGCCGCATCCTGCGTTAAGTAGGGGCGGATGCTCATAATGTTTTTGAGATGGAAGCGACAGGATTAGGCAGTAAACTGGACGTGAGGGGTGAAGGAGAGGTCGAAGTTAAAGAGAACACCTAGGCAGCGAGCCTGCATCGTGGAGCTGATGGCAGCACCATTGCAACACTTGAGGGAGGTAAGACCAGAAGTTCTGTTTTGTACAAGGTGAGCTTAATGAAGTGGGCAGCCATCCAGTTAGAAATAGCAGAAAGGCAGTCAGAGACACTAGTCAAGAGGGGCGGGGAGAGATCAGGGGAGGACAGATAGATAGGGTTAACTCCACCTCTAATGGCTGTCTACTAGACAGACGCTAGATGGACTTCAGGGCCGTTAGGTGATCTTTGGTCGCCTAACTGACAATGGATATCCTCACGCCAGGTGTCGTGGCTGCAACCGGGCCCGGCCGCCCTGCGACCCGGTATGTACCCAGTGTGGCCAGCCTCTTTTCATGGGGGGCCCAGGAGCCGGCCACCTCAGGGCCCCCCGAGGCTGTCCCTGGTGTCACCCGGTGGACGGGCTGGTGGGCGCACGAGGGAGCATTCTCCCCTGAGTGCTTCCTCTTCAGCTCCCTCGCACACCGCACTGATACCGGAGCCGGAAGATGACGTCATATTCCGGCTCTGGCATCAGTACACGGCGCGCGAGGGAGCTGAAGAAGAAGCACTCAGGGGAGAATGCTCCCTCGCTCACCCACCCGCCTGCCTGGTGTCCGGCCGCCCAGCAACACCACTGGACCCCAGGGAATCCCCTCAGCACTCCCAAAGGTAGGGAGGCTGGGGGGTTACATTTAAAAAAAAATATGTGTGTGTTAGTGTGTGTGTTAGAGTGTGTGTGTTAGAGTGTGTGTGTGTTAGTGTTAGAGTGTGTGTTAGTGTAAGGGTGTGTGTGTTAGCGTTAGAGTGTGTGTGTTAGTTTTTGTGTCAGTGAGTGTGTTACTGTGTGTGTGTGTGTCTGTTAGTGAGTGTGTGTTTTGTAAGTGAGTGTGTATGTGTCTGTCTGTCTGTCAGTGAGTGTGTATGTGTGTCTGTCAGTAAATGTGTGTGTTTGTTAGCTAGTGTGTATGCGTCTGTTCGTGAGAGTGTGTGTGTGTCTGTTAGCTAGTGTGTATGCGTCTGTTTGTGAGAGTGTGTGTGTGTCTTCAGCACTTACCTTTCTCCAGCGCCGGACTCCCTTGGCGCTGAGGATCCCTCCGCCCCGATCTGCCTCTCAGCTCCGAATGCGCATGCGCGGCAAGAGCAGTGCGAGCATTCAAACCGCCCATAGAAAAGCATTACTCAATGCTTTCCTATGGATGTTCAGCATCTTCTCACTGTGATTTTCAATGAGACAGCCACTAGAGGCTGGATTAACTCTCAGTTAAACATAGCAGTTTCTCTGAAACTGCTATGTTTTCAGCTGCAGGGTTAAAACTAGAGGGACCTGGCACCCAGACCACTTCATTGAGCTGATGTGATCTGGGTGTCTGTAGTGGTCCTTTAAGTGTATGTGTATCTGGCGACCAGGTGCCCGCCGCCATGTGTTGCGCACCCAGCCTGCGCAGAGTAAGCACGGGGGGTGGGGGCGGGGGCCCACGGATCAGTTTTGCACCGGGGCCCCATGGGTTGTGTGTACGCCACTGCCTCACGCTTTGCACGGAGTCATCCAGCGTCACCAAAAACCCCATAGGAAAGCATTGTATAATCCTTTCCCAGGGGGAAAGCCTAATGCGAGCGTAGCCATTGCCCATGGGTCTTCCCGCCGGCTGACATGGGCAGGGGGAGGAGTGAAGGCAGACCTGAACCAGCGCCAAGGGACATCGGTGCTGGACTGAGGTAAATAACAGAAGGGTTTTTAACCCCTTATGAACCACGGGAGGTAGTGGGGGGGCACGAGGTAGGAGGAAGCTATAGTGCCAGGAAAACAATTGTTTTTCCCGGCACTCATGTTTCCCTTTAGCCACTGTCCATAGGATATTCCTTATATTAACCATTCTTTCTGCCTGCATTGCCATGCGCAAGGCTTTTTGCTTCAAATGACCTTTGGGATCATAGTCATAGTATAAAACCACACGGTTTTTCCTATTGTCTCTTCTTGTGTACAGACAGGAACCACAGAGCAATTCTGGAACAAAGAAAATGTGTTTCTATATATCAGAATTACATGTCATCTTTTTTTCTGTTTCTTCTTACCCCTAGATGGAGAGATTACATCTAAGCCAATGGTGTTGTTTTTGGGACCTTGGAGTGTTGGCAAATCCACTATGATCAACTACCTCTTGGGGCTAGATGAATCCCCTTATCAGTTGTACACAGGTAACGACAGAAGACATCTTTGTTTCAATACTAGTATTTACTTTTTTTTATGGCACTACTGATGGCCACCTGTCAATTCCAATTCGTGCAAGTAATATCTATCTGCCCATCTTACTTATATTAGTAGACAGACAGTTATATGGACAGACAGAATGCATAATAATACATTTTTTAAGGGGGAAAAAACCATTCTGCCTATTTCACAATTTCTCATGTTTAAGACAAGTGAGAGCCAATAACCACCCTAAAGTCCATTGACAATTTATGGGCATTTCGTTTTTTTGACAGGTGCTGAGCCCACCACTTCCGAATTCACAGTCCTGATGCATGGGCCAAAGGTGAAGACCATTGAGGGCATTGTGATGGCTGCTGACAGTGGCCGCTCTTTTTCACCACTGGAAAAATTTGGACAAAACTTCCTGGAAAAACTCATTGGGATTGAGTTCCCCCATAAGCTGCTAGAGAGAGTTACGTTTGTGGACACCCCTGGTATCATTGAGAATCGCAAGCAGCAGGAAAGAGGTAAGGATGGATTAACAGACATGTCCATTTTATTAAATTTAATATACATTAGCTGGGTTTTTGGTAACATACCATTTCCTAGTGGAGATGTGCATAGAAAGAATTTTTGTTTTGGCTAGTTTCAGTTCAGTCGATAATTTTCAATTCTCAGTTCAGTCGTAATTAGTATCGACTCAATTAATTCGAACCGAAAATATTTTCGTTAATTTACAGAATTTCTGAATCCAAAAGGGGGCAGTCACAAAATCCCCTAAAGGGGGATATTCAAGAAAGGTTACTACACACCATCGAATATAAGTCAAATTAAGTTAAATAATAATTAACAAAAATTTGATCGGTGTGAAAACGATTGCATATGTCTATATTCTAGTCAATGTCTGAATTGGTATAATGAGAAAAGTTAGAGTGGATTTCGCACCCAAAACTGGGGACTTTTTGTTATTTTGTGTCATGATTCCTTCTCTATCACTTCCAATGCAGGTTATCCATTCAATGATGTCTGCCAGTGGTTCATTGATCGTGCTGACCTGATCTTTGTGGTGTTTGATCCAACCAAGCTGGATGTAGGTCTTGAACTAGAGATGCTTTTCCGGCAACTGAAAGGTCGAGAGTCTCAAATCCGTATCATCCTGAATAAGGCTGACAGCTTGGCCACCCAAGAACTGATGAGGGTATATGGAGCCCTCTTTTGGAGCTTGGCTCCCCTGATTAATGTGACAGAGCCCCCAAGGGTATATGTTAGCTCTTTCTGGCCTGAAGACTACCATCCTGAGACACACAGGGAACTCTTCCTCAAAGAGGAGATCTCACTACTAGAAGATCTTAACCAGGTCATTGAGAACCGTCTTGAAAACAAGATTGCCTTCATCCGCCAGCATGCTATCAGAGTGAGGATCCATGCTCTGCTGGTGGATCGGTACCTGCAGACTTACAAAGAAAAGATGACTTTCTTCAGTGATGGAGAGCTGGTATTTAAGGACATTGTGGATGACCCTGACAAGTTCTTCATCTTCAAGTCCATCTTGGCTAAGACCAATGTCAGCAAGTTTGATCTACCCAACAAAGAGGCTTATAAAGATTTCTTTGGCGTAAATCCAATTACAAGCTTCAAGCTGCTATCCCAACAGTGTTCCTACATGGGAGGCTGCCTCATAGAGAAGATTGAGAGAGCCATCTCCAATGAGCTCCCTGATCTTCTTGGCAGTATCGGCCTGGGCAAAAAGCCAGGTGCTCTCAACTGTGATGCAACTGGCTGCGGAGAAGCACCAAAAAATCGTTACAAAAAACACTAATTCATCTCTATCTTCATCCCTCTTATATTTCCAGAAAATTTTAAATAAAGAAAACACAGTGTTTCAGATCCATAAAAAAGGTCCTGTGATCTTTTGGTGACTGAACTTATCTGCTCTAGAAAACCTTGCAGACCCCATCCTTTCTACAATGTGTCCTTGACGCATGTCACAAAGATACTTGTATACGTTCTCTTCGGTGCTGAAGGGATCAATGTGTCTTGTTACCCTGGTGCTGACGGAATCAAGGGAAATGTTAGTGGAATCTACTGGAAACTTGATCAAACTGGTGAAACTTCCAGAGAGGCTGCAGTGACCCAGTAAGATTCCTCTCATCTCATGGCACCATCCATTCTCTGATTAAAAAGATTGTTTTTCTTTGTCTTACTAACACTATGAGATAGATGGCTTAGTGTGGAGCTCACTGCAGACTCTCTGATATCTTCAGTGTAAGTCTAATTCAAGAAGGCAACACTTTTATATGTGAACACTTCACTATGGTAGATCCAATCAGTCTCTGTGGCTTATCTGGCATTCCATGCCTGTAGAAAATCAAGTTATCAACAATATTTAATTACAATTAGGATCATTTTGCATTTGACAATCTAATCAGTTTTATTAAAATATTTTCCTTGTTTTAATTCAAATTCTTTCAAGAATCTGGATTTTTCTATTACAAACACAAAATGTAATTGGTTGTACTAGTAACACTACAACACAGGTTTCTGACACATGGCACATAAATAGTACAATTGTTTAGTACAGATATATAGTTTTACGTAGAGAAACACAAATACTCTTTTGACCACAAGGCTGCTTTATTTACTTTATTTTATGTTAATGTATTTATTTTTCTGTGAGTGTAAAACCACTGCCAATCACAACTTGCAATTAAAGAAGTAATACAGTGTGAATACACAAGTTAAACAAAGGTCTTCTTGTTGTATTGTCCAGTATTTACCACAGCCCATAAGGGTAAATATTGAGCTCACCCCTCATAACTGATCAAATTAGAACTCACCAAATTCACGATGGTGGCAGAAGTGGGATCACAACATGTCAGCGACACACAGAAGGGTGATAACTTTCAGTGACCATATGGTTACAGTATTGCAAGACTAATACACAAAATCAGATTTTGTTTAAATTTGATTTGAGCAAGATAAATGAGGAAAGGAAAACACTGCTGTAGAAATAAGTGATATTTAATGTGATTGGCTACAATCTCAGCTAAAAAATCCTGATTTTAACAATGCCACGGCAGAGCCATATTACCTAAAACCATCATGTTTAGAGACAGACTGAATGCTAAAATGCCTTGATGCCCCTGTGTGATGTTACACTTCATAAAGGGTCACACGGCCATAATACTATTAAAAGCACCTTTCAGATTTATCATTAGAATACAGGTACTTACATATGTGTCATGTCACTAGTAAGGTAAGGTTCTGCACAAGGTCCCAATGTCAACACAGTAGAGTATGGAGACTCTTTAAAAGATAACTTGTATCGACAGGGCGGTATGTGATTTCATAATTTGGCCAGGGAAGAGCACCTTCAAAAAATACAGTTTTTGAAGTAAATTAAAATAGAAATTAGCCTAAAAAAGGCAGTGGATTGTCTGTCCGCAGTACCTAAACATCAAAATAATGCCTTAATACTGGAGTTTGTTTTACAAAGGGTGAATTGTGCCTTAACCATTTGAATGCTGGGTGGACAGTAGACATAAGAAAGGTTTACCGGAGATATGTTGAACGGAGATGGAAACGAGGGATTAGAAGATGGGTAAGGATTAGAGGAAGTGGGCGGAAATATCTTATTGTTACAATTAAGTGTGCTTGTCGTAGGTTTAATTACCCCTCCTAATGCAGGGCTGGTTAATGGCTAAAACTCCACTAAGCATCCAAGGAGTTGCAGTCCAGCAGCAGGCCTCCGTGGTCTTAAAGGAATACTGTCATGATTTTTTTTACTACTATTTAAAATAAACTATTACATCTATTATAGCCTCTGTGACTGTGTGTATTATTTTGTTAAGTTGATATTACTTTTTATGAATTTTCTGGCTTACTCTTGCTTTATGGGAACGGCCATCTTTAACCCTTTAAGGACACATGACATGTGTGACATGTCATGATTCCCTTTAATTCAAGAAGTTTGGTCCTTAAGGGGTTAAATCATCCTTTGGTCATCATGATCTTAGCAGATAAGTGTTTTTTTCCAACTTCAGATGGTCATTTATATATAGCAACCCCAGGTAGCAAGGGTAGTCACGGATATTCACTGAAAATAATTAGCTTTTAATTAGTATTCAATAAAAAACATCTCACTTACCTCCCCTACCCACCCTCCCCCCCCCAAAAAAAACAAACAAACAAAAAGCTCCATAAAAAATAAAAAAAGCCAAAATACACCAGGCTATATTACATGCAATCTTTGTTTTTTTTGGCAATAATAAAAATCTATGACAGTTTTCCTTCAAAGTGACTCGCACAGTTCATTACACACAGTTCCATTTAGAACAGTGTGTTAAAGGTGCATTCAGCTCTTGAGGGGTTAGTTAATATAGGGTACAATAGTTTTAGAATTATTGGTTAATTAGCAGTTGTCATTCCCACGGTTGACGTAATAAATTCTGTTGATTGTTTCTACCATAAACACACCACCCACTTTGTTATAGTGATCCTCCGAAATGATTTTATCCTCTTGAACGAAATAAAAAGTTTGAGCTTAATAACAACAAACAGCATTTTGGACCTGATTATTCCACCTTATTACTGCAGTATTACTAGAGTACTCTGTACCTGCCTGCCACTTACTTAAAGGATCACTATAGTGTCAGGAAAACAGGTGTTTTCCTGACACTATTGCATCCTTAGGACCCCCCACCCTCAGGGTCCACCTCCCGCTCTGACCTCTGATTTCTCAATGCTTTCCTATGGATGTTTTGCACGCTGGATGCGAATTTCGCATCCAGCGTCGCAGAAGCGCCTCTAGCGGCTGTCAGGAAGACAGCCACTAGAGGTTGGATTAACCCTGCAATGTAAACATAGCAGTTTCTCTGAAACTGCTATGTTTACATCTGAAGGGTTAAAACCTGGGGGACCTGGCACCCAGACCACTTCACAGAGCCTCCTGATCTCTGTATGTATGTTGTATGATTTTGTACAATGTGACAATGTTTGGAGCTGGTCTGGAATCTGGTGTTGCTGAGATTAACCCCTTAAGGACACAACTTCTGGAATAAAAGGGAATCATGTCGGAATATTTCCGTCATGTGTCCTTAAGGGGCTAATGGGAGCTGAAAGGTAAATCATCGTAACTGCAACAAATAATTTAATGTTCTCATTCTAAACGTAACCGCTACTTCGATCACGGTCAACTGGGGGCAAGTGTTCTGCCCCCTGAACTAATTCCTTATTTAATGTTCAAAGGGACACTATAGGCATCAAGACAACTTCAGCTTATCGAAGTGGACTGGGTGCAGTTCCCCTGCCAGTTTAAACTGGCAAGTGTTATTATTGCAGTTACTGAGAAACTGCAATAATTACCTTGCTGGGTTAACTCCACCTTTAGTGGCTGTGTACCAGACAGCCACTAGAGGTGCTTCCATGTGGTTAGACGACTTTTGATTGCCTAATTGACGCTGGACGTTCTCACGCTATGCATCAGCTAGAACCCCACAGGAAAGCTTTGATGCAATGCTTTCCTTTGAAGTATTCCTAATTAGCATGCACATTCGCCCCCTCACCCCTCCACTGGGCCGTGAGGGAGGGGGACACTATAGGGAGCTATAGTGCTAGGAATACAACTATGTATTCCTAGCACTATAGTTTCCCTTTAAGAGTGAAAGTGTCTGTATAATAGCTTTGTTCCTTAATGGAAAATCTTCTGCAGATATCACAGCTTTGAACACTCTGAGAACCATAACAACCTCATCTCAGTGAAATTATCATGATGCCTGGAGGTCCTGGGTACTGAATTACCTTAAGGGGTTAAACTATTTAGGAGTGGCCCAGACGCCACCCTCTTGCAGGTACCGGTGTCTCCTCCCCTGTGTCCAACTTCAGTGCGGCAGCTGGCAGAGAGGAACGGCTAACCTGAGATCTGAAAGACTGGCACTGTTTGGACCACAAGGGAATTAAACAATTCGTAAACCATTTAACCCATTTAGGGGAAATAGCACCCAGGACGTCCAGACACCATAACAACCTATTCCATAAAATAATAAAATAAATTACTATAACCATTAGCTCTCCCATTTATCTTGGAGACATAGAAACAGCCCTTTCCGGTTCACAGTTCGACTCAAGAAACAAAAACAATACAATGTCATTATGTATATATGTTATGCAATCAAACGAACTGAAAGAAAATCTGAAGGAGAACAGTCACCTCTGAAAGTCCCTCTTTTGGACCTGATCTTTGTTCAGTGTGGACATTACGGTTCATAAAACATCACACAAGAAGTGGCTGGGATCATTTGGCTAATCCTGGTCCTCACATAGTGTTCCCTGTGAGATTTACTAAAGGAACACTATAGTCACCTAAATTACTTTAGCTAAATAAAGCAGTTTTAGTGTATAGATCATTCCCCTGCAATTTCACGGCTCAATTCACTGTCATTTAGGAGTTAAATCACTTTGTTTCTGTTTATGCAGCCCTGGCCACACCTCCCCTGGCTATGATTGACAGAGCCTGCATGAAACAAAAACCTGGTTTCACTTTCAAACAGATGTAATTTACCTTAAATAATTGTATCTCAATCTCTAAATAGAACTATAATCACATACAGGAGGCTCTTGCAGGGTCTAGCAAGCTATTAACATAGCAGGGGATAAGAAAATCTTAATTAAACAGAACTTGCAATAAAGAAAGCCTAAATGGGGCTCTCTTTACAGGAAGTGTTTATGGAAGGCTGTGCAAGTCACATGCAGGGAGGTGTGACTAGGGTTCATAAACAAAGGGATTTAACTCCTAAATGGCAGAGGATTGAGCAGTGAGGCTGCAGGGGCATGTTCTTTACACCAAAACTGCTTCATTAAGCTAAAGTTGTTCAGGTGACTATAGTGTCCCTTAAGTGTGGTTATTTAGGTTTAGGCATTCCCCATTCACTTTAAAAATTGCAATAGATCCCCATAATCGAGAAAATGATATGCAGTGCATTATGGAAACTGTTAGCCATGTTTACATTAGCCTCAAAATCCATGTATTCCTGACCCTATAGTGTTAAAACCACCAGCTAGCCCCTCTTGCCCCCATAAATATAGTAAAATCTTAGTTGTAGTAATGTCTCCAGTTGATGGCTCTCCCCCTGGCTGCCCCTGCCCCTACTGCTGTCTGCTGACATAATCAGAAGTAGTGGTCTGAGCCAATCACAATGCTTTCCCATAGGATTGCCTGAGAGTGTCAAGGAGGCAGATTAGCGGCAGAGCCAGGACAAGTCACACGTCGCCCTGGCCAAGCAAAGCTATTTCATAGAGATGAATTGAATCAATGCATCCCTATGAGGAAAGTTCAGTGTCTGCATGCAGAGGGAAGAGATACTGAATGTCAGTCAGTCTGTGCAGCACCGCCCCAGGAAGCACCTCTAATGACCATCTGAGGAGTGGCCAGTGAAGGTATCACTAGGCTGTAATGTAAACCCTGCATTTTCTCTGAAAAGACAGCGTTTACAGCAAAAAGCCTGACAGTAATGATTCTACTCACCAGAACAAATTCAATAAGCTGTAGTTGTTCTGGTGACTATAGTGTCCCTTTTAAAATATACAAAAAATCTCTTGCAAACCCCCAAAAAACAATATTGAGTCCAAAAACAACATAGCCTCATTTTGATCTCATTCTTTGACATAATTATTTTGTCTTAAGATCTTAACAGTACTTTCTTTCAGAGCAATAGAAGTGTAAGTTAGTATCCCTGGGCACTGCTCAATGGAAAGTTAGAAGACCTATATTATGAGGTAAGCCCTGCAGTGTAAAACAGTTTGACTCCTTTCAAGGGGGTGTGGGGCAGGACACTCCTGGCACCATAACCACTACAGCATACTGTAGTGATTATGGTACATGAAGTGTTACTTTACAACTTTTCCAATTTGGCTATTGTGCCCTAAAATTTAAAATTCAATTTGAATACACTTAAAGAATATGAACCCCAGCACACCAGTCTATAAACTACCCACAGGCATAGGCAATCTTCGGCACTCCAGATGTTTTGGACTACACCTCCCATGATGCTTTGCCAGCATTATGACTGTAAGAGCATTATGGGGATGTAGTCCACAACATCTGGAATGCCGATGGTTGCCTATCCCTCAACTACCATAAGGATTAATACTTTCACCCGAAAAGTACAATGCCATTAAAATCTAATCTTGTAAAATAATCTCATTTTAAAATGTACTAATAATTGTACAAGTACAATAATCCTGTAATATTAAACAATGTCATTATTTCTCATCTTCTGCTCCTGGCATTTGATTATTCATTTAATATAGTTTATTATACAATGTTAAATGACTTGATAGAATTAAAAAGAAGATTTTAAGCATTACTTGATTTTCAGATGATTTCCAACAGATTATTCATTGTTTAACTTTAAGAACAGTGACCGTTTCACTACACAACTGGTATCTCTGAAGCTTTACATCGCTGAACACTGCAGTGACATCCGAAAACCTGCCTCAGTGGGCAAGCCATACGACTGGGCAAATGTCTCGTTACATTTTTTAAAATATGCAAATGTTTGAATTTGTTCAGAACCAAATTCTTGACCGAATAAACAATGACCGGCAGAATTGCGAGAAAATGGAGCGGTCTGGTACCCTTTCAGCTGCTGTTTCTGTGGGATGGAGAGGTGATATATGAGAAGTTTATGAGATACATGAATATACCGATGTTACTAAACTAGAAAAACACTTGGAGAATTCCTTAGGTTAACTGTAAGTAGAACCTGACGAGGGTTGAGCGATCACGTAAAATGAGAAAAAATAACTATTATGAGAATGGACATCAGCTAGCCACCTCCACTGTCCATAAACAGGCCAAAACTACTTTAAATGGAAGATCTGTATAGAGATACGGTAATGTACATGACGTCTCATTAAAGGAACTCTTATAGCTCTAAAATCAGAGATCCATCTTTACCGAAAATTGAGTAAAGGAAAATAATAATAATTGGAGGCAATAAGAACATAATTACCAGCAAAATGTAACAACTTGGATGAGAATTATCAGAACCCAACATATCTTGAAAACACATATTTACTGCTGTAAAACATATTGTAACAAACATACAATTCAACCAACGTCAACTGTTAAAACATACGCAAGGCTGCTCCAGATAAGATGGTGATAAATAGCTCAGTCAATCCAAAATCTAGTTAGTAGAACTCGTTAGTTAGAGCTGGTAGAAAAAAAAAACCATACGACTGCCAAGGACTGTGATACCCTGTTTATAAATCCCCAACCAAATGATACTTCCAGAGACAGGAGTATTTGGTGTAAAACGAACAGGGTTATTCGATAAAGTGAGAATTTAAAGTAAATCCAAAGTAAATGTCTAACTTAAAGGGACACTATAGGCACCCAGACCACTTCAGCTCAATAAAGTGGTCTGGGTGCAGTGTCCCAGGTCCCTGAACAGTTTAATATTCCAGTTTTTAAGTAACTGCAATAATTACCTGCTAAGCTTAACTCAACCTTTAGTGGTTGTCTAGAAGACAGCAATTAGAGGAACTTCTGGGCTGTCAGGCGACTTTTGGTCTTTTAACTGACACTGGACGGCCTCATGCTATGCACCCAAGACCCTATAAGAAAGCATTGCTTTCCTATTGGGAAATCCTAATGCAAGCGTGACCATTGCGGCCAGGAGAGAAGGCAGACCCAATCCAGCGCCGAGGGACATCTGCGCTGGGCCCAAGTGACAGAAATGGTCATTAACCCCTTCTGCACCAAGGGGGGCTGGGGCTGCTTTACTGAGAAGGAAGCTATATTGCCAGGAAAATGTGTTTGTTTTCCTGGCACTATAGTTGCCCATTAAGGTTGTTGAATTGGAAAAAATTCTTAACATCAGCTATCCTGCCAATTTAGATACTTTCGCCTGAAATTTGAAAATTCACTTTGAATGCTCACTTTATTGAATAGCCCTGTAAGTCTTAACATACCAGCATATAATTCCTTCAGCGTAAGACATGTCTCCCCAGTGCCCACGTCTTCTTAATTTTGCACTGGCAAGGCACCTTCGCCAGCTATGACAACAACAGAGAAACACACAGCAGGTATCCAACCAAACAGAACCGCAAATACACCTTAGGGAAAGTGGGACCTTGTATGGATCAGACTCCAGTCCTTCTGCTCAGGTCAAAGAGGACAATCACTTCCCTTTCACCGTTAATAAACCCCAAGCTATGGTATGGTGGTAATCACAAGAGGCTAAACTATCTCTGTGTGGTCTGTGGCAGAGACAGCTTTAACACCTTCACTTGCAGTCCCACACAGTCTAATAGTGACACGTAGGACACGATACTAGACACTGAGGATAATGCAATGAGAGAATGGATGGCTGACACATTACCGTCACAGTGAAAAGAGAAATGAGAGTGTGGAAGAGAATGCAATAAACAGATTAGAAAGAAGCCCACAGACCATTCAACGAAAGGTCCTGACGAAACATCAATAAAATGTTCCCTGTGTGTTGCTCTCAAGTAACTGTGTGGCCGATCTGCACAGTTGAAAATCAGCAATATATTTCTCAAACGATGACCAAACCGCTAGTAGTTCTACACAATGTGAAAATAAAAAGTTCAATTTAAAACTGCTTGTCCCAGTGGTGATAATTAATTCAACAAAGAGGGGCCTCGGGGTCCAAACGGTAAGTCTATCGGAGTGGTTTATAGATTTGGTTTTGGGTTTTAATTTCACACATTCAGCTCATTATTACAAAATTATTGGTATTGCACAAAGCAGGTCCCGTGTCTGTGGCTGAGAGTGATGGGAGCAACCCTAATGGATCCACAAATGGGGGTTATAAAGGCAACATGCCTTAAAGCTACTTCTCAGAGTATGTGGGTGGTGTGACAGCTGCTTTCTCGGAGTGTATAATCCCCTTTGTGTTTTTGGAAACCTGCAGAGGGCTGTGTCAGTCTCACTGAGCAGCAGCTGCAGCACTAATGCACCAGGAAAACATTCCGAGTGATGTACAGCAACGCTTTGAAACTCATTGGTGGCCTGGGCAAGCTGATAAGACAACAATGGAAAGCTAAATAATGTGTTAGACATCAGCTAGGATCAGCTAGGCCTAATAATAAAGGACAGACAAACAGTCAGAGATTTAGATAGATAGATCGACAGATAGAGATAATAAATTGATAGATAGACACAAGGACAGACAGACATATAGATACTTAGATAGATAGATAGAGACAGATAGATCGATAGAGAGATAGATAGATAGATAGATAGATAGATAGATAGAGACAGATATATAGATAGATAGATAGATCCCCTGATTTTGAATGTTTGCCCACTGACAAAGAAATGATCAGTCTATAGTTTTAATGTAAGGTGTATTTTTTAATTCTTTATTTTTGTTGTGCGCTCATCGTAATCAGCAATGACGTCACATTTGTTTCAAACAAGATATGGAGGAACAACAGTGTCAGTCTTAATAAGCAGCACATTTTACAGTAATAATTATAAATGTATGATATAAAAATACTGTAACGTTAACCCAGAGAAAAAAAAAAAAAAGACAGATCCAAGCAGGGTTAATGCGGGTACCCCATGATTGTGTGTCATTACCATAGCGAGTGGTGTTGCGGTGGATGTTGAAATATCTATGTGGTTAAGGCTTTTGGTGGGAGGGTCTTGGTTGCCTTCCTCTCTAGCGGAAGGTAAGTATGTGGCTCTTCGTGGAGTACCCAATGTTTGGCTGATGGGAGAGGAAGGAAATAAAAAGAAAACAATTAGATGTAGCCGCACTGTCCGTTCAGCTCGTATCTAGCCCATTGATTGAAGAATCCATGTCTTTTTTGCCCCCCCTATTATCCATGTCTCTGTTTCCCTCCCTTTCATGTCTTTTCTCCTCCCTTTTTCAAAGTTGTGGATGTCATTTGTATTGTATGCAGTGTGTGTATTGAATACATTGTGTGTGTGTGTGTGTGTAGTGGATGCAGTGTCTATGTTTGTGTAGTGTAACTAGTGTTTGTCTAGTGGATGTAGTGGATGTGCATGTAGTAGTGTCTGTGTAGTGCATGTAGTGTTGAATAAGTGCTGGGCGTAAGTGTTTAAAATTAAATTGGGCTTAACTTAACCTCCCTCCCTGCCTCTTACCTGTGGGCTGGAAGAGGAAGGACAGTGTGTAGGAAGGTGACAGTGTGGGGGGCAGTGTGTTGGAAGGTGACAGTGTGGGGGGGCAAGTTGTGGGGATGACAGTGTGGATGGGCAGACTAACAGAGAACATTGCCTCACTGATACACACTTACGGACACTCATTGTCTCACACGCTGTTTAATTAACTAACACACACGTTCACTGACAGACACACTGACACGAACACACTCTCAGAGACACATGCACTCACTGAGATACACTGAGATCATTGGCAGAGCAGGCACCTGCCATCATGGTAAGCAGGTGCCTACTCTGCCATACCAAAAAACAGACAGCTTCGGGGGCGCCCTGAGGTAACCATATGTCCCGGGTCCCCTGTGACAAGGCTCTTCCGGATGCCCCCATTTTCGGGTGCCTGGAGGATTGGCCTGGCGCCGAAGGGGGTGGGGGGGCGGATCTGCTCGCCCAACGCTGCGGCTGAGGACAGGGGGAGCCCACCAGGAAATATCCCGGTGGGTGCCCCAAGCAGGCCGATAGGCGAATGCCTAGTTCGCCTATCGATGGCGCCAGAACTGAGTCCACTGGGTTAGCGTGAGATGGGTAATGTGAACAAATAAAAAATTACTGCTAGGACGTGCTACATAGAGAGACACTGTGAATAGGACACAGATCTGAGACAGCTAGGCCATGATACCTAGAGAGACACTGTGAACAGGAGTCAGATCTAAGACACCTAGACCATGTTACATACAGAGACATGTGAATAGGAGACAGTCTGGGGTAGCTAGGCCATGATACCTGGAGAGACACTGTGAACAGTAGACAGATCTAAGACAGCAAGACCATGTTTCATATAGAGACATGTGAATAGGAGACAGTCTGGGGTAGCTAGGCCGTGTTGCAGAGAGACACACTGTGAATAGGTGATAGATCTGAGACAGCTAGGCCATTCTGCATATAGAGACACCGTGAATAGGAGACAGATCTGAGACAGCTAGGCCATGCTGCATAGAGAGATACCGTGAATAGGAGACAGATCTGAGACAGCTAGGCCATGCTGAATAGAGAGACACTGTAAATAGGAGACAGATCTGAGACAGCTAGGCCATGATACATAGAGAGACACTGTGAATAGGAGACAGTCTGGGGTAGCTAGGCCGTGTTGCATAGAGAGACACTGTGAATAAGAGACAGTCTGTGGTAGCTAGGCCATGTTGCATAGAAAGACACTGTGAATAGATGACAGATCTGAGACAGCTAGGCCATGTTACATAGAGAGACACCATGAATATGAGACCGATCTGAGACAGCTAGGCCATGTTACATAGAGAGACATGTGAATAGGAGACATATCTGGGAAAGCTAGGCCATGTTACATAGAGAGACACCATGAATATGAGACCGATCTGAGATAACTAGGCCGTGTTACATAGAGAGACACTGTGAATAGGTGACACATCTGAGACAGCTAGGCCATGTTACATACAGAGACATATGAATAGGAGACAGATCTGAGAAAGCTAGGCCATGTTACATAGAGAGACACCATGAATATGAGACCGATCTGAGATAACTAGGCCGTGTTACATGGAGAGACACTGTGAATAGGTGACAGATCTGAGACAGCTAGACCATGTTACATACAGAGACGTGTGAATAGGAGACAGATCTGAGACAGCTAGACCATGTTACATACAGAGACGTGTGAATAGGAGACAGATCTGAGACAGCTAGACCATGTTACATACAGAGACATCATGAATATGAGACCGATCTGAGATAACTAGGCCGTGTTACATAGAAAGACACTGAATAGGTGACAGATCTGTGAAAGCTAGACCGTGCTACATACAGAGAAACTGTGAACAGGAGACAGATCTGAGACAGCTAGACCGTGCTACATACAGAGACAGATAAATGAGAGGCACAGGCTAAGGATTAGCAGATAATTTACAGATTATTGACCTAGTAAATGATGATCTGCCTATTGAGATATATTCACTGTGAAGGAAGATTATGTATTAATACCGTAAAATCTGTGAATGTCAGATAATCCGAGAAAATGGATTAAAGATCATCAGATAGCCATTCTAGAAAGTCAGATTTATAATGGATAGACAAACTGCTCACCTTCCGCTAGAACTAAACTGCAGCAGGCGGAAATCCATGTATATCGTCTATTGAGACTTACATGAACTGCTTATAGGGACACTATAATCAACAGAACAACTACAGCTTATTGTATTTGTTCTGGGGAGTATAATCAGTCCCTTCAGGCTTTTTGCAGTAAAAATGCAGTGTTTACATTACAGCCTAGGTATAACTCCACTGGCCACTCCTCGGATGGCTACTAGAGGTGCTTCCTGGGGCAGTGCTGCAGAGTGTGAGTCGACTGACATTCAGTGTCTCCATCCTCTACATGGACACAGTGAACTTCCATCATAGAGATGCATTGATTCAAACCCTAACATAGAGTGCTTACCATTACACTGAGCGCTAAACACTAACATGGAGCGCTTACTATTACACTGACCTCTAAACACTAACATAGAGTGCTTACTATTACACTGACCTCTAAACACTAGTATGGAGTGCTTACTATTACACTGAGAGCTAAACACTAACATGCAGTGCTTACCATTACACTGAGCGTCAAACACTAACATGGAGTGCTTACTATTACACTGAGCTCTAAACACTAACATAGAGTGCTTACCATTACACTGAGCGCTAGACACTAACATAGAGTGCTTACTATTACGCTGAGCGCTAAACACTAACATAGAGTGCTTACTATTACACTGACCTCTAAACACTAACAGAGAGTGGTTACCAATACACTGAACGCTAAACACTAACATAGAGTGCTTACTATTACACTAAGCGCTAAACACTAACATAGAGTGCTTACCATTACACTGAATGCTAAACACTAACATAGAGTGCTTACTATTACACTGAGCGCTAAACACTAACATAGAGTGCTTACCATTACACTGAGCGCTAAACACTAACAAAGAGTGCTTACCATTACACTGAGCGCTAAACACTAATATAGAGTGCTTACTATTACACTGAGTGCTAAACACTAACATAGAGTGGTTACCAATACACTGAACGCTAAACACTAACAGAGAGTGGTTACCAATACACTGAACGCTAAACACTAACATAGAGTGCTTACTATTACACTGAGCGCTAAACACTAACATAGAGTGCTTACCATTACAATGAATGCTAAACACTAACATAGAGTGCTTACTATTACACTGAGCGCTAAACACTAACAGAGTGCTTACCATTACACTGAGCGCTAAACCCTAACATAGAGTGCTTACCATTACACTGAGCGCTAAATACTAACAAAGAGTGCTTACCATTACACTGAGCGCTAAACACTAACATAGAGTGCTTACCATTACACTGAGCGCTAAACA